AATGGGGAAGCTCAAAAAACATTATATACAAACCATCAAAGTTTTGAATAGCGACTTTGAATGGGGATTGCAAACCCAATTTAGGGGAACACAGCCGTTCATCGAACGGACCCAACGGTCTCAAAGATGGTTTACCATGGTCGATCCCCCCATCAAACGGGACTCCAACAGTGTGGATGATGGCGAGTTAGATGCGGCCTGCCCTATCTCGTAAGTTGGGGATGTGTCAAGATTGAAGTGGCCATGGGCTAATGATGTAAACATAGCAATCGCCAATTCGCCAATCTTGGGAAAATCAAACCAGATCATTGAAGGGACGTAGCCAATTGGATGATGCGGATAGCCGGATAGTCTCAGATGGTTTGCTGAGAGGGTTGTGCTGGGCTTGAGCACGATCATTATGCTCTAGATTGAAGTCTTGTGAATTTTTATCTATTTATGTGCAAACTAGGCAACTAACAAGACCTAGCTTCCAGGCGCTATATTAAATTATTTTAAGATATACTATACATAATTAATCATAATATTATCAAAATATAGACAGTGCGTAATACAGAGTCTTATCAGTGTTTGTTCCCATCCTGTCCCACCTAGTCCACCTTCCAACTTGAAATGCGAAGTTACTAGTCGATCTTTCAAATGGGAGGCAATCTCAACCATTCATTTCAGATTCCGGTCCAATTCTTCCCATGTCGCTATGATTTCAGCGTCATCCTCGGCAGCTTGGGTACTCCAACCCCATGGGACGCTTAAATCCGTCCTCATCTTCGCGATTCAGCATCACAAAGCTGACCTCAAACTCAGCGCTGAGATTTTCACAGGACCCAGACGTTTGCTGTGCAACATGACACGGGAGCATCATGACTTCAACTCAAATCCACATCGTGAAAGCTACGAAAGTGGGGAGTTCTGTGCACGTGAAATCCACAAGAGCATCACAGTGAACATAAAGGGCTTACCATTTAGTCCCATCTGCCTACGGATGAATCCCATTTCTGGGAGTTCACAATAAACAGACTCAATACATTCACCAGGGTTTCTCATGGTTTTCTGTCTTGTACCCTCCGGGAATGAAACATGGCTTGCTGAAAAACCACATAAATATAAACAAATTACAAATTAATATAAAATATACACGTATATACACTATATATCCATTTAAATGCCCATTTATAGGGGATTTCCGATTGCCATCTTGATTGCCAAAGGGGGAAAGGATGGCTTTCCGTGGCCAATCTTAGATCCCCTTCAAAAACATGGATGTTCTGCTGCTCAGTCTATGTGCCCATCGGAATTTCAAAAGCTCGAAGTATTAACCTACCCATCACCAGCTCGTTTCCCTAGAACTGTTGCTTAAACATCCACTTTTGATGGTTAAATGAAGTTAAATCACGTTCATTTATATACATATACATATATATATATATAAATACGATATAATTATATATATTATATTATATATAATATAATAATTATTAGTTCTTGATTCAACCCCAGTTGTTGTTGCTCAAATCGCCCAATTTGGTGGCAGCCCTCTACCACTTCACTAAGTTGGTTGACCAAGGAATAGTCCTCCAGCAGCTGGCAGAATGCTTCGTTGAGCAGTCGAAACCTCGAGGCCGGGTGACATAAGGGCCAATATATGCCCCAAATCAATCCAAATCGCTGTTTTGCATCAATGAGATTCATTGAGTTGAGTCTTGAGTCTTGAGTTTGTGATGAATTGGATGATTTAGGATCGATTTCGGCGAAATTAAGCCAATATCGAGTGAAATTAAAACTCTGGTTCCAGGAAGGGGCCCCTTTTGATAGCACGGTCCTACTTGAGGCCATGGCGAACTGAAGGATCTTGTGAGGTCCCGTGGAAATCGGTGCGGCTGCGCACCTTTGCATTTGGTGGTTGGATTGGTGTTAGGCTTCCCCATTTGAGCCCAATTGTTAGCTCCCTGTGCCACTTTCGCTGCAGATTTCCATGATGTTTCTGTGGTATTTCTAGAGGATTTCTGAAGGGATGCTATGAGAATTCTGTTGTATTCTGATAAAATGTCCATTGGATTCCTATGGGATTTCTATAGTATTTCTATGGTTTTTCTGTGATATTTCTATGGGGTTTCTATTGGATTCCTGTGGGATTTCTATTGGATTCCTGTGGGATTTCCAAGGTATTTCCATGATGTTTCTATGATATTTCTATGGGATTACTATGGGATTTAATTAACGGACGGGATAACCCCACAAGGCAGCGTGTTCCAATAATGAGAACCAAATGTTGTAGCGGGGACGGGGAAAGAAGGAAAGACAAAGGATGTGGTGGAGGACCGACAAGTAAAACAAAGTTGTGTGTGACAAAGTTGTATGCGAAAGATGGTGTGTGACGAAGAAAGATGGTGTGTGTGTGTGACAAAGCAGTGTGTGAAAGATGGTGTGTGTGAAAGTTGTGTGTGCGAAAGAGAGCGTTTGACAAAGTTTTGTGTAAAAGATGGTGTGTGACAAAGTTGTGTGCGAAAGATTGTGTCTCAAAAAATGGTGTGTGACAAAGTTGTGTGAAAGATGGTGTGTGCAAGATGGTGTGTGACAAAGTGGTGTGTGAAGGATGGTGTGGTGAAAGATGGTGTGGCTGAAAGTTCTGTGTGAAAGAGAGCATGTGACAAAGTTGTGTGTGAAAGATGGTGTGTCACAAGGGGGGTGTGTGAAAGATGGTGTGTCAAAGATGGTGTGTGAAAGATGGTGTGTGAAAAATAGTGTGGTGAAAGATGGTCTGTGGAAGATGGTGTGGTGAAAGATGGTGTATGACAAAGTGGTGTGTGACAAAGCGGTGTGTGAAAGATGGTGTGTCAAAGATGGTGTTTGACAAAGTTGGGTGTAAAAGATGGTGTGTAAAAGATGGTGTGTGAAAGATGGTGTGACACAAAGAGGGTGTGTGAAAGAGCGTGTGTGAAAGATGGTGTCTGAAAGATGGTGTGTGACAAAGTGGTGTGTGACAAAATGGTCTGTGAAAGAGGGTGTGTGACAAAGTGGTGTGTGAAAGATGGTGTGTGAAAGATGGTGTGTGACAAAGTTGTGTGTGAAAAATGGTGTGGTGAAAAGTTGTGTGTGAAAGATGGTGTGTCAAAGATGTTGGGAGACAAAGTGGTGTGTGAAAGATGGTGCGTGAAAGATGGTGGGTGACAAAGTTGGGTGTGAAAGAGGGTGTGTGGAAGATGGTGTGGTGAAAGATGGTGTGTGACAAAGTGGTGTGTGACAAAGTGGTGTGTGGAAGATGGTGTGTCACGCAAAACGAAGGTGGATGTGAGATTGTGCCACGCCTGCCACGTGAAACGAACGTAGATGTCGCCAAGTGCCACGCCTGCCACGCAAAGTGCCGCGGCATCACGGGCGACCAAGCCAGCCCAAGCGCGCCACCCAGTGCCATGAGTGCCACGCCTGCCACGCAAAACGAAGGTGGAGGTGAGATTGTGCCACGCCTGCCACGTGAAACGAACGTAGATGTCGTCAAGTGCCACGCCTGCCACGCAAAGTGCCGCGGCATCACGGGCGACCAAGCCAGTCCAAGCGCGCCACCCAGTGCCATGAGTGCCACGCCTGCCACGCAAAACGAAGGTGGAGGTGAGATTGTGCCACGCCTGCCACGTGAAACGAACGTAGATGTCGCCAAGTGCCACGCCTGCCACGCAAAGTGCCGCGGCATCACGGGCGACCAAGCCAGTCCAAGCGCGCCACCCAGTGCCATGAGTGCCACGCCTGCCACGCAAAACGACGGTAGATGTGAGTTTGTGCCACGCCTGCCACGCAAACCGACAGTAGATGTGAGTTTGTGCCACGCCTGCCACGCAAAGTGCCGCGGCGTCACGGGCGCCCAAGCCAGTCCAAGCGCGCCACCCAGTGCCACGCCTGCCACGCAAAGTGCCGCGGCATCACGGGCGACCAAGCCAGTCCAAGCGCGCCACCCAGTGCCATGAGTGCCACGCCTGCCACGCAAAACGAAGGTGGAGGTGAGATTGTGCCACGCCTGCCACGTGAAACGAACGTAGATGTCGCCAAGTGCCACGCCTGCCACGCAAAGTGCCGCGGCATCACGGGCGACCAAGCCAGTCCAAGCGCGCCACCCAGTGCCATGAGTGCCACGCCTGCCACGCAAAACGAAGGTGGAGGTGACATTGTGCCACGCCTGCCACGTGAAACGAAGGTGGATGTGAGATTGTGCCACGCCTGACAAAGTATGTGTTGACAAAGTGTGTGTGAAAGATGGTGTGTGACAAAGTGTGTGTTGACTAAGTGTGTGTGAAAGATGGTGTGTGACAAAGTGTGTGTGACAAAGTGTGTGTTGACAAAATGTGTTGACAAAGTGTGTGTTGACAAAGTCTGTGTTGACAAAGTCTGTGTTGACAAAGTGTGTGGTAACAAAGTGTGTGTTGACAAAGTGTGTGTGAAAGATGGTGTGTGACAAAGTGTGTGTTGACAAAGTGTGTGGGAAAGATGGTCAGTGACAAAGTGTGTGTGACAAAGTGTGTTTTGACAAAATGTGTTGACAAACCGTGTGTTGACAAAGTCTGTGTTGACAAAGTGTGTGGTAACAAAGTGTGTGTTGACAAAGTGTGTGTGAAAGATGGTGTGTGACAAAGTGTGTGTTGACAAAGTGTGTGGGAAAGATGGTCAGTGACAAAGTGTGTGTGTGACAAAGTGTGTTTTGACAAAATGTGTTGACAAACCGTGTGTTGACAAAGTCTGTGTTGACAAAGTGTGTGGTAACAAAGTGTGTGTTGACAAAGTGTGTGTGAAAGATGGTGTGTGACAAAGTGTGTGTGACAAGAGCGGGAGGCGGGGAGGAGGAGGAGGAGGAGGAGGAGGAGCCCGGGATACAGAATCAAAAACAAGAACACCACACAAAGTTGTGGGGAAAAAGGATTTCTATGGTACTTCTATGATATTTCTAGAGGATTTCTTTGGTATTTCTTTGTGATTTCAATGATGTTTCTTTGGAATTTCTATGGTGTATGGGGTTTCTATTGGATTCCTGTGGGATTTCCATGGTATGTCTATGATATTTCTTTGGGATTTCCATTGGATTCTTATGGGATGCCGATGGTATCTCTATGGGATTCCTATGGGGTTTCAAAAGGATGTCTATGTGATTTCCATTGGATTCTTATGGGATTTCCATGATGTTGTTGTGGTATTTCTAGAGGATTTCTATGGGATTTCTGAAGGGATGCTATGAGAATTCTGTGGTATTCTGATAGGAGTTCCATTGGATTCCTATGGGATTTCTATGGTATTTCTATGATGTTTCTATGATATTTCTATGGGGTTTCTATTGGATTCCTGTGGGATTTCTATTGGATTCCTGTGGGATTTCCAAGGTATTTCCATGATGTTTCTATGATATTTCTATGGGATTTCCATTGGATTCTTATGGGATTTCCATGATGTTGTTGTGGTATTTCTAGAGGATTTCTATGGGATTTCTGAAGGGATGCTATGAGAATTCTGTGGTATTCTGATAGGAGTTCCATTGGATTCCTATGGGATTTCTATGGTATTTCTATGATGTTTCTATGATATTTCTATGGGGTTTCTATTGGATTCCTGTGGGATTTCTATTGGATTCCTGTGGGATTTCCAAGGTATTTCCATGATGTTTCTATGATATTTCTATGGGATTACTATGGGAGTTCTTATGGGATTTCCATGATGTTGTTGTGGTATTTCTAGAGGATTTCTATGGGATTTCTGAAGGGATGCTATGAGAATTCTGTGGTATTCTGATAGGAGTTCCATTGGATTCCTATGGGATTTCTATGGTATTTCTATGATGTTTCTATGATATTTCTATGGGGTTTCTATTGGATTCCTGTGGGATTTCTATTGGATTCCTGTGGGATTTCCAAGGTATTTCCATGATGTTTCTATGATATTTCTATGGGATTACTATGGGAGTTCTTATGGGATTTCCATGATGTTGTTGTGGTATTTCTAGAGGATTTCTATGGGATTTCTGAAGGGATGCTATGAGAATTCTGTGGTATTCTGATAGGAGTTCCATTGGATTCCTATGGGATTTCTATGGTATTTCTATGATGTTTCTATGATATTTCTATGGGGTTTCTATTGGATTCCTGTGGGATTTCTATTGGATTCCTGTGGGATTTCCAAGGTATTTCCATGATGTTTCTATGATATTTCTATGGGATTACTATGGGAGTTCTTATGGGATTTCTTTGTGGTTCCTATGCTATTCCATGTTATTTCTATGATCTTTCTATGGGATTTCTGTGGGGTTCCTATGGGATTCCAATGATATTTCTATGATATGTCTATGGGATTACTCTGGAATGTCAATGGAAAGTAAGTTGGAATCAATTGAAAATAAATTCAAACTATCTATATAAATTGAAATCAATTGAACATAAATTGAAAGTAAATTAAACTCGATTGAACATATATTGAAAGTAAATTGGAAATCAATTGAAAGTAAATTGAAATCAATTGAAATCAATTAAAATCAATCGAGAGTAAATTGAAAGTAAATATTGAAATCAAAAGTAAATTGAAAAAATGAAAGTAAATTGAAATCAATTGAAAATAAATTGAAAGTAAATTAAAATCAATTGAAAGTAAATTGAAATCAATTGCAAGTAAATTGAAATCAATTGAAAGTAAATTGAAATCAATTGAAAGTAAATTGAAATCAATTGAAATCTATCATGGTTTTGACTACACCTTATTCAGAGTCTGCCACTTTAAAAATTTTACATTAAAGAGAGTCCAAAAATTGTTTGAGCGGGGGCCCTCACACTAATCAAGACCGAACATTATTCAACATATATCGATATAGATATAGGTATGCCATGGATGGGATTCTGCACGTTTGGGTGGCTCAAACCAAACCATCGAGACTCATCGCAGGGCTCCCGCACTTCTTCACAGGTATTGAAAGGCACGACCGTCAGATCGATGCCTCGTGTAGATGTGAGAAGAATTATTGGCATTGGATCAAGCCCAAAAAGCTGGGATACCAAAATGGAAATGAAACATGGTTGGGGAAATAACCAAGAAGTAAATCGTCTACACAACTCATCAAACTTTTGGATTTTCCATTGTCAGGTTAGTCAGGTTTGATTCTCGGATAATTGATACTTGACATCACGAAAATCTAGTGATAATGATAGGGTCTTCATTTTTGACTAAATACACCAGCATTAGTGATTTTCCAAGGCCTTGGAAGGCCAAGGGCACCCAATTTTCGCTTCCAAAAGGTGGCTTTATTTTTAGGGGGACTCAACCAGCAGAACTGCTTGGATCTCTTCAGTGCAATGCTCATGGCTGACGGAAATCTGCACCGACATATCCTCCATGTTCAAGAAACACCGGGTATCGATGTTTAGCCTTCGTTTTTTAGTTTTAACCCTAGGTAACTAGGAATGGTATTCCCCAAATTCATGGGAAACTTGTGCTTACCGAGGTAAAATTATACACTACAGTAATTATACCTGGTATCTACCGCCTCTCTCTGCCGCTTTGCTTCTTCGCCCGGCACGACATTTCCCCAATTTCATGAAAAAGTCACCTATGAATCCTATGAACTATATAGTATAGTTCAGATTTACCCCAGTACCTCATCACTGCTCCTCACTCTGCTATTCCGAGGTAGTTTTTTTCTTTCCCTCCTCTCACAACACTTTTCGACCCATGTTGGGCCTCATTCTCAGCAAAGACATCCGTGGAGGAATTCCCTGAGATGTCCTGATGACCAAGTCCGTTGGGCCCTCAGCCACCCAGGACATGGGGCAACCGTATGCTATACCGATCAATGCCAATGTGAATGGTGTATGGTTGGGTTTTCCTCATTGTACCATTAGCTATACGTCATAATGTTGTAAAAACATGGACATAAACAACAATGTATGCTAATTTACCATACATGAATATGATACCGTTAACATCCCTTAACCATAGCGAGGTCTGCAAAGCCATTCTTCTTTAAAGGCTGTTCCGTCTCCCTTGCACAGGGCCACTGCCTCCTGAAAAGATGTTCCGTCGGGGCTTCGCCTCATGATGAGTTGCCTATGAAAAATGATGGATTTTCCATAGCCATGTTGAATAGTGGTAAATTGACAGAAGGTACAGGGGCGCAATCAGTCAACATACATTGAGCTGGGCTGAATATAAATCGTGATGACTATGCATGGGTCACTCCAACCATAAATATGCACGTACAGTAGATCAGCCATGAAAAATAACCCTACCTGACCCCATACCATTACATATAATCGTTTGCAAATAGGCATCCGGTCAGTTATATATGTGTTTAAAATTATATGCAATAGCCAACAATAATCCCAAAGAAACCCATTAGTATAACCCCTATGTTAAAATCATTCAAAGACAGTAGGGGCATAATTGATGACACAAGTAACCTTCCCAGGAAAATGTAGGTTCTCCAGCCCACCCAAGAAATGTCGCGACTTGAGTGCTGGTGCGTCAGGTGTTCATCATCTCCAATACTGATGAAGCACCTGGGGCACTGAGCGGCTGGCAATCTAGTTTCATGTCGAGAATGCAAAGCCCTCATCTATAAATTTTGTGGGATGGTCAACATTCTGGACATACCCATTTTTAGTTGTGCGATGTACCACATGGCCCCAAAAGGGGAAACAAAAACAACATGCTGGACATGGTGATCCTTGGATTCCAGGATCAGCTCTTGGTGTTTCAACCAGTTGGAAGGTCACAGCTTCGAAGTCACAAAATTGACCCAAGAACCCCAGCCACAATGAGCTTCCCCACATGGGTGGCACCGTGCGGGGTGGCGTTGCACATGTGGAGGAGGTCGCTTTGCTGCTGGCCTTACTTACCAGGAATTGGTGGTTAAAGGGACGCTGATGACGCACACCATCCATGATGGCATATGTTCAGTTGATGCATTTCGATATGTGATGATATGACTATCATGTGGCTGGGAAACTCTTAACTTAGTACCAGTAGCTCCTTGGCTGCTCATTTGATAGGGAAAAATGGATACAACCACGGTTCCGTTCACAGCTGCCTCCTATCACAATCAAATGGCTGGTTATATATCTCACCTGGTTGGTGGTTTCAACCCCTCTGAAAAATATTAGTCAGTTGGGATGATTATTCCCAATATGGAAAAGTAAAAAATGTTCCAAACCACCAACCAGTCACTGTAGCCCCCCTACAATCCCCATTCTACCCGCCCCTGTTTTGGGCATCAACAAGTGGAACCAACCTCCTCTGCCGGGGCTTAAGACCGAGGCCGATCCAAAGATGGTGCAGTGCCTGGCACTGGTGATCATCCCAGCGTGGATAAGAAGCATATTGCGCAGGGAATGCTTAGGAAGCCTGAAGAATATCTCAGCATTAGGAAGTTTCTTCAGTGAAATCGCCATAGGATGTATTGCCTTGTTGGTGACTTCCAATGCAACCTACCATCCAGTTGAGAGCTGGGGCCATCCACTTCCCCTGCAAGTCCGTTTTGAACTTGGTTTAGCCGCGTATATACTTCCTTTCATCCCATTTTCCCCATTTATGGCAAAACATGGTTGAAAAATGTTGACAACAAGTGACCTATGAAACTACCAGACCTATATTTACCTAGAAATGATGTGGATCCGGGTTCTCTCTCAAACAGCTGCGGCCTGGTTGACTCCGCCACGACTCCCCACGCCCACCGCTCTTTGTTCGGAAACTCATCCAACAAATCCAGGCTACGGGGGGCCCAGGCAACCAGTCTTTGCTTTGATTTTTTGGTTCAAGTAAGGAAAAAATACATTTTGATTTAATCTGAAAAAAATCAAAAAACTGCTTTATTGTTTTGCTTTGATTTCATGTAGTTGACACATTTTGAAATTAATTGGTTCAAGTGAGAAGTAGACGAACACAACCACACAACATCTTGAGGTTTTGCACAATCAATACAGTCAGCAAAGGAAAACCAAGAGTCAGATCTTTGTCGGGGGTATGGCCATGCCCCCAACGTTTGACGCACGAATCTGGGGTGCACAACGATGAGCATCTCACACGGTAAACATTGGAGGCACAAGGTCCTAACATGATCATACTTGCTTGATTTTGTTTTTTTTTGGGGGGGGAAGTAAGTCTCTCTAACAAATAAAGTGCCCGACACTTTGGCGTTTCAAAGCACCAAGCAAACAAGAGAAACATATAGAGATTCATGGTGGGTTTCACCAATTTCCAAGTCCCGGTAGGACTGGAATCTCGTAACACACGGCTTTCACGTCGCATTCCACTGCGCCCCACTAAGGATTATACTGGGTGCAGGTGTGGCCGGGGACGTCCATTCTGATTTGCCTCAAGCTGTTTATCTAAAGTATAAACTAGTAAAACTAGATATGATAGTATATGATAGTATACTTATCTGTCTATATCTCAGATATGATATGTTACTATATCTATATGGTGATCTTAATATCAATAGTAATGTCTATGGTCTGTCTAGTGGGTGAAGGCTATATCTAGATGTGCTTCAGCCACTCGCAACGACCACCAGAACTATATATAGATGCGTAAAAAATGGAAAAATCATCTAATCTGGGCAAATTACAAAAAAACACTGATCTGACATAAGGTTTTTTTGGGATAGTTACCCAAAGTAACCATCATTACAGCGAGGTCGCGACGTGACGTCGCTATAGTTTGCCCAGATTAGTGGATCGTCCCAACCTCCTTTTTTTGAGATTTTTCCAGCAAGCCATGTTTGATGACTGCTACAGGGGGTGTTTTTTAGGTCCCTATGGCCCTATGGGTGAGTAACATTTAGTAACCACCCATCATCCCCCCCAAGGTGGTACGAACTGATAATCACCACGAACAAACCTCAAGTATGAATGGTCTCACCAGAATTATCCTATTCTCCCACAATTTTCCCACTATTGTCCCATAAGACCCCTATCATTGGTAAACCTCAGTTGGACAATGGTGACGTCTCCGGGCGTCGGCAAACACCTATGCTCGCGCCTCTGGAAAATGCCATTTTAAGCGTTTGGAGGCGGGTAGGCCAGCCGTGGGCAAAATCATATTCAGACAATTTTTGTATCACTGTGTTGGAACTTTTACCAAGTTTCATGGGTACTCCCAGGGTCTAAGTCTAAGTAGTAATGACTAAGCAAAGGCCGATATACACGTCAGCAACGGGTCAATATTCTCCATATTCTCCAGTACAGCGCGCAAGAACCCATGGAAAAAAGTCCATCCACTGTTTGAAAGGGCTGGTGCCACATTAGATCATGTATTGAATACATCGGACAATGACGTGTGTTTGTTCACTTGTCCACTTATTTCAAGTGAGTAATTCCCCATGTTCATTTCAAACCCAAATGTTTGCAATGAATTTTCAGCTAGGGAGCCATGCCACGCTGTCGCATCCAAATGGCCAGCCAGCGGTTGAAACATGTTGAACACCGAGGCTACTATCCGTTCTTTCCCCTTCAAAATTGGCCATATTCAATCACCGCCCCCCAACATCCTGGTTGGATCATGTTGGATCTATTCACATGTTTGGGGGGTGCATGGGGCTGCGATGAAGGGTGAATTGTTTGCCCTGTTTTGGTGGGCCAATGAACATGACAACTAAGAGACAGCACCCAACAATGGATACAATGGCAGTGTCCACTTCAAAATCAAGGGTCATATATTTTCAATGTCATAATTTTTGAACATGATATTCCCACAGGTGAGTGTGAAGTACTCGGCAAAGAAATGACATCCATTTAGCTGGTGATGTGTCGTCCTACCAGCCCGGGCGTGCTCAGAATATGTATGTCTTGTGATGATGTTCACAACCCATCGTTGACGCTTTCCTTTTTCCATGTGTTCTTATTCCCTGTAGATGATTGCCATACCTGGTATACCAATGCATCATACTCGAACCATGTCATGCCCTGAAAACACAAAAAAACTGTGGGACCAATGACGAAGCCTTGAAACCCCTGCAGAGTGAGGATTTTTTTCGGACGAAACTCCTTGAAATTTCACGTTGGTCTCTGTGCGACCGAAATCTATCTGTAATTTCCTCAGGGTTTCATGCAGGGGCCAAAAGTAAATTCCAATGCTGTGTGTCAAATATGTTTTACAATAACGTCCCTTATGCATATATATATATATATATATATGTGTGTGTTTATGTATGTGTGTTCAACCAATAGATACCATGTACATCAATTCATGAAACCCTGAGCTATACAGGAGGGGTGAAACTATGCGCATGTCACATGACGTTGGCAGATGTTTCAGGCTTGCCTCTCACATCACATGTAGATGTTCTGCTCGAGGCCCTTCTTGCCCTTGCCCTTTCCATACCCCTTGTTACCCTTGGGGCAGCCCTTGCCGTAGCCCTTGTCCCAAACCCCCTTGGCTTGGAAATTCTTGCCTCCTTTCTTGCCCTTTCCTTTGGCATTTCCTTTGACATGGCCCTTGTTTCGATAGCCTTTGCCACCCTTGAAATTCTGGTGACCTGCATCGTTGGCTCCTTTGCTCTTGCTGCCCTTCTTGCCCTTTCCCTTGGCCAACTGAGTTTCTGGCATCACCTGCTGGTGCTCTGGGCCGTTGGCACCTTTGCCATGGCCATTGCTATCTTTCTTGCCTTTTCCTTTGGCCTTTCCTTTGCCATGGCCCTGGTCCCAGTTGCCTTTGCCAGCGGAATCCTTACCGCCCTTCTTGCCCTTTCCCTTGGCCCGAGTTTCTGGCATCACCTGCTGGTGCTCTGGGCCGTTGGCACCTTTGCCATGGCCATTGCTATCTTTCTTGCCTTTTCCTTTGGCCTTTCCTTCCGCTGGCAAAGGCAACTGGGACCAGGGCCCTGGTCCCAGTTGCCTTTGCCAGCGGAATCCTTACCGCCCTTCTTGCCCCTGGTTTTGGCCCTTCCCTTTCCGCCGCCTTTCTCCTTTTCGCCCTTGCCACCCTTGACATCTAGGTTGAGCGGAGCTTCTGCCACAACTGTGTCGTTGGCAACGTTGCCAGTGGCGTTGCTGCCTTTTCCCTTTCCGCCGCCTTTCTCCTTTTCGCCCTTGCCACCCTTTAGGTTGAGCAGAGCTTCTGCCACAACTGCGTCTTTGTCAACGTTGCCAGTGGCGTTGCTGCCTTTTCCCTTTCTGTCGCCTTTCTCCTGTTCACCCTTCTCACCCTTTCCACCCTTGACATCCTGGTTGATTGGGGCGTCTCGGATCAAACGCGGGGGATCGTAGGGCTCTGATGCCACAGACACCGAGGTGGCCAGTGCCTCTTGCAGATCTGTCCGCACGTCTCCACTTCCATTAGCCTTCTCTTCCAACGTGGCGCCACAGGTGTCCTGCCATAAATTCTGGGGGCTCTCAATGCTACAGATTATGATTCCAACACGATCACCTAGTAGTGGTATGGGAAACTCATGGGAATGAGGAGGTCTCTCAGTTGGCCTTCAGAACAGATTCATAGTTTTTTTTTCAAGTCTCTGGGTTGCGAGGAAAGCAGATTTATATTGAATGGGAAGCACGGGTTTTTGACCATCAATCAATCTTGAAATTATCCCAGTCACCATGGCTCAACCGTCACTTGCGGCAGTAAGATTCAATCACTTGCGGCAATAAGAAAACAATCACTTGCAGCAGTAAGAATCAATCACTTGCGGCAGTAAGATCCTTGAACGTTCTTACTGCCACAAGCGATTGGTTTTGCTTACCGCCACAAGCGAGGTAGGAGCCTGACGGTGGGGTGGGGTGGGGTGGGATAATAACGTTCATTTTCCTGTACACACACAGGCACGGCAACCTCATCATCTTTCTTGCTGTCCTGCAGACACAGGCACTGCTCTTTCATCATCAGTTACTGGTGGGGTGGGGTGGGGTGGGATAATAACGTTCATGTTCCTGTACACACACAGGAGGAGAAAGTTAATGATGATGTGCTAGCTATGAAAAGTAAAGTTTCCACCCTAAGCCCTAAACCCAACCCTTCCATGGAAATACACGCTCGCTTAACAGCTACAAATCTAGTCGCGGTCGCGCCGTTCTATGTATATCTTAACGTGAGGCTATCGCCACGGTATCTATAACCACTATATCAACCGTCGCGCTATATATACCCAAATGCAAAACGAAAAGACACGCAAAACACAACAGAGCTGAAATTGGATTCACACCAAGTGCTATCAAAAGCATCAAAAGCCATATGTTTTACCTATGGTAACCGAGTCGAATAGCCCCCTAAAAAAGTTGCTCCAGCCCTCTTTATTAGATCCCCTGAAAAGGATACAGACATGATCTAAACTTCAATCAAGACATCAGTAAAAACAGTGAAATCCTGTACAACGGAAAGAAGTTAACATAAGCCTTCTGTCAGCGTTGCAATGGTTCCAGTGAATGTGTAGAAATCACATGAATAGAAGACAAGTATGTGCGCAAGTGCTGCAAAGCAGCTTACTGCCACAAGCGATTGGTTTTATATACCCTGGCATCAAGGACACCCACTTACCGCCACAAGCGATAGATTTTTTACCGCCACAAGCGATTGAAAACAAAAACGCGATCTTACCGCCACAAGCGATCAGGCCTTGAAATGCTGCACCTGCCACGCAAAAACAGCAATCACCTGCGGCAGTAAAAAAAAATCACTTGCGGCAGTAAAAAATCAACGTTCTTACTGCCACAAGCGATTGGCGCATCTTACCGCCACAAGCGAAGTACGAGCCTTTAGCGGCTCGTCCTGCAGAAGAGACCATTTGTGGATGCAGGTTGTGCATAAACTGCTTGATTCACCAAAGCTGGGCCCCCAAAAAAAAACATTAGGGAAACCAACAAGACATATCTAGTACGGATGGAAAACCAACAAAGATAAGGATTTTACCAAGAAAAAATTGGATCTACATACGTACGTTGGGTCAGCTACAACAACTGTTGGATTTGTGGTGGCTGAATCTACACTTGGGTGAGCATACACCAACTTGGGCGCCCCACATTGTGGAAAATGAACTCGGCTCTGGGTAGCAACTGATTTGCCCATCTACAAATCATGATTTTCAGTGCCACGTTTGTTCATGGAGGTAAACCCTCTACTCTGCATCGTGGATCTGCATCACGTCATTAAACATTGCACATGTGCAGCATCTGCACTTTCAGACGTTGGCTACACACGCAAACAAATGCTTGTTTTCCGGCCACACCAATGCAAAGCATCGGATGCTTACATCATATGGATATCCACATTCAAAAGTGAATATGATACATGCATTATATAATTGTGTGCACATATATATATATATCATATATATATACAGTAATTATATATATAATTATATATATATACATATTCGGTCCGTCTGAAACTTGCACCTCTCTACAAGAGAACTGAACCCCACCACTGTAAATCCAAAAAAGTTGACAGTGATCTTGGATGTTTCGGTCTCATTTTTTCCCATCCAATAATTGTAAGATGATGGACGCTTCCCATTTGGAAGTCTCCCCACCAAAGCAGGAACTTTGCCCCCAAGAAAAAATAGTCCGGTTGCTGATGATTCAAATTTGCTTGAAGGTAATGCAGTTCCAAACTATGGTGAGAGGGATCACCATTGTAACATTGGAAGGGAAAAACATACACAAATAATGCGGTAAACACAAAAGAATGCAACCCATAGCCATAGGGATATAACTCTGTAAAACCATACAATGTTATGCAATATTAATCCAGGTCTTTCCAAAATTTGGAGGCTGTTCTTCGCCAAACAAATATCGGCCACTCTTGAAACAGAGCAGTTTGGGTAGGGTGCCCTATTCTCGGATATGCATGTGTGTGTGTGTGAACCATGTGACACGGGCTCACACACTGCAAACAAATCAAACAAACCACCTGCGGATGACATTCCGACTGATTGTGCCCATAGGAAGAGGCAACACGAACCTGCTCCTCAAATTCTTGGATGAGATCTGTAGGGGGAAAAATGTCTTTTTTGGGGAAAGGTTACCTTTTCAAGCCTTCGAGGGACGAAGTCCTTGGAGTACAGGCTGCCACTTCCATTGTCGTGGTCTGAGTGTGGAGGGAGCTCCAGGCTCATTTGAGCTGTATCCACTGCCTGATGTCAGGCAATTCTCATTTCAATGGGTTTTAGGGAAAATCAGCACAAAAGTGTGACTTGTTGAAACCAAATCAAGGCGGTGCCTGGTTCCTGTAGATTTCCCTTGAACCAAATCCATCCCCATTGCAAACTTTCAGGATGCAAACGTCCGTCAACGGATCAGTCCAAAGATCCAACGTCTGAGCGCACTGCATTGGTTTCCTTCAGACGCATTTTGCTCTGATCCGGCCTTGGTCATATGAAACCGAGTGACCATTGTCTGCTGTGTCTTCACTTTCATGTGATGGGGAATGGGTCGAGAGTAGGTATCCCCAGCAATTTGGATGGTTGAATCATTGAATATCAAAAAATGTATATGGATGTATATGGGTGTCTGAAAATGATGTGTAGCCACCAAATTGCAATTCCAATATATAGAGAAAATGATGCTTTGAACCATGGTATTTTTGGGAGTATACCCCATTTTCAGGTATCACAATCATAAAGGTATCTCATTGTTCAATCAAATCTTTAGATACTTCGATTCGATGGATTTTCGCCAAAATCTGTATAGAGATACCTCCAAATTGTTATCAACATCTATAGCCTCCAATAGTTTATCAAAGTCTATAGATACCTCCAAAAGTTCATCAATTTCTACAGTACATATATCTCCAAAAGTTTATCAATTTCTATCAAGATCTTCAAACATCTACCAAATTCTATGGACATCTCCAACGTTTTATCAAGAGAATCAACATCTATGGATATCAGCGAATGTCTAGCAAAATCCGAAGATATCTCCCAAAACATTGGCCACAACCTGTGGATCCCCATCCCCCCACCGCTGAGTTTCCCAACGGTGGTGCCGCCGTAGCCAGGAACTGGCGCTGAGAATGCTCCGCTAAGGTGTCAGCATCGTGGTATCCTAACTGTTGAATTAATATAGGGGAGAAAAAAAGGATCATGGGGCTATAGTGGATAACTGATGGTTGATGGTTGGAACTTAGTTGATATATATATATATATGTATATATGGTAACTACATCTAAATATACGTTTTTTATATACGTATAGGAACCGGTATTTTAGACCACCTCTGGGAAGCTTTTCCTTGGCCTGCCCGGTCAAATGGGAACTCAAGTCTTGAGGGGAATGTTAAGCTGAGCAGAGCAATAAATCACGGTTGCGGAATGGTGCCGCTATGAGTCACTTTTACAGCCCAGCCCAACGCACTTGGGGTTTATCATGTTATCCTAAAAAAGAGTCAACACCTCTAGGCCCACAGGTTGTATATTTTACTGTAACATTTTGATATTATGATATCAGTTTTGCTGGTTGTACGACCCCTCTCAAGCAACTTTAGGTGGTTCAAAACTCAAGCAATCCTTTTGTTGGTTCAATCCGTATGTCTGGAGTTGGTATATTCCCATCTTTGGTCGCCTGAATTTCTCTTTTCAGGTCTGAATTCCCAAAGTGCCTCGCTCATGATTGCTATTGGAGACCATGTTTGGGATTCCAGATCTCAAGCCATTTCTCAAACCACTTGATTCGGGGTATATCCAAACCTTGCAACAACATATCTGGGTGGAATTTGTATCATAGTCTAAAAACATCCCCGACAAAGGACCGCAAAATGAATAGATCCCATACATTTTATCCCATTTCCGTTTAGAAGAATTATACATTAGTAGATTCTTCGCTGATGACCAGATACGCAAACCCCACACAAGTATTCGAGTATAAATTTACACCCTTCTTAGTGGATACAGGTCAAGAACTCCCACTTACCCAACAACATAATTGTACTTATAACTATTATAAATACGTGATAATTGCCAAAAATATTGGCTCCTTTGCCCTCAAATTAATTTATATATACATATGTTATTGCTTTTTACATATCTACATATCCCATAGCCATAGTCCCCTATGAATAACGTCTATGCTCACTGACATTCATATTTATAGATTCTACTCATATAAACCCATTAAATATGAGTTGAGTTAATCCCATGACATCCCCATGTTTAATGGTTTTCACTTGATTATAAAACCCACCATCGCCTCCTTCTTGGCCAAGGAAACCTCAAGCTGGACATAGGGGGGATACAAATGCAAACATATTATCTCCCTATGTTTATGTGTATGATACATTAATATAGAACGTATACCTGAGCAAAAGCTAATGCAACATGATACCCTCGCATTCTACAGCATAACACACGTGTGTATATTATATATACATATATATATACAATAGGTGCATTATACAGATTGTATAATACACATTAATGTACGCATTTAGGAATTGGACAAAACCCTTGGTCCATGCGCAAAATCCGAAATGACCTGTCAACATCTCCAAACATGGTGCAATAACAGAGGCGATGCTGTAATGTTCACATGCCCATTTTCGGAGTGCATTGGGGGTTATTGCGTTACCAAGACCAAAAACAGGAACTATGATAACGATGTTAGGACACCTGATGGGTGGTTTCAACCTATATGAAACAAAATTTGTCAGTGGCATTGGGGATCATGATCCTGAACAGGATGCAAAACAGAACATGTCTGAAACCACCAACCAGCAACTATATTTGGGATACATCAACCCAGGGTGAGGGAGACAGTTTCTGATGGGATATTTCATGATAGTTCTTAGAGTCTTGAAGAAAGACACACGCGGTTTTTGGCCAAAGACTGTGTTGACTGAGACTGGGGCAAGCAATGTTGGCGCCTGGAAGAGCATCAGGGTCTTACGGACGAGCATCAAGGTGTTACGGGTCGTCAAGGTACCGGGGGGCGATTCAAACAGATTTATGGAATGACGTCTTGAAACTCACATCAACTGGGAATTTAGATGGATTTAGTGGGAAACTTTGTAACAGTATAATTTATTGGGAATATATATATATATAATGATATAATGATATAATGATATAATGATATAATGATATAATGATATAATATGATATAATGGTATACAACTTGCAGAAAACATGCCACTGTAAAAACTTGCCCCAATGCCGCTCCTCCAACGCAGTCAATTCAATCTTCGAGCCGGCCAGATTCCTGTTTTTCTTCTCGGCAATGGCAGTGTCATTCATGACCTGGCGACAGGAACGGTGTCATCACATGGTGCTTCACCCCGTTTCACCACGGTTTTACCATGTTTTACCCATGAAACATAATCAACAACAAATTGAATAATACCGGACGATAACCTGGGATTCCCCATGACTTAGGAAGTTAGAAACAGTATGGAACAGTGAATGACTTGGCGCCTGTGCCTGTGTGACCACTTGATCGCTTTCACCGCTTTCGGCCTTCAAGGAAGCAGACTTGTCAGCCGTCAGAGTGATGCTGCCTCAAGACGCAACTGGCACAACTGCTGGACGGGGGACCAGCAAAGCAAGACCTCCAAAAGGGATGACAAATATCGATCGAATCCAACATCAGCATCCTGAATGGATCAATAGACATGGGATTCGTATACAAATTATACAATTATGACATATTTTGAAACAAGCCACCAAATGATGGATGGGCAGGATGGGAAGTTCATTGGAAATTCACAGCTGCGGCCAAGAGACAAAGCTCAACGGCCGTGGGCAACTGCTGATCATCCTGGCTGCACGCGTCTACAAGCTTTGATTTCCAACCCAAACTCTATAGAAACAGTTGGAAACCACCCTTCCCAGGGCGTCCCCGGCCTGTCCATACGAGGCCACACCGATTTCTTTAAGGTAGGCCAGGTCATGCCAGGTCCATGATTTCAACTTACGAATATTTGTATTTCGCAAGCTTTGATCCAAAACGTCGCAAGAGCAAACTGCAAACTGTTGTCTTCCCCAAACATCTAGGATTTGAGATGTGCGCTACCAATTCGGGGAGGTCATACCATTTTGGGAGAGGGACTACTGAATGGTTTTTTCTTGACAAGACTCTAGGGCCCTAGGGCAGAACGCCACGTATGAACCTACCTCGACATACTTCCTCAATCATTTGCCTTGCACCTTTTTGGTCTTTCTGATTTTGGTCCACTACGTTCACTGCCACTTGCCAAGTGGGCGGTTTCCATCTGTGTCCTCGATAAACTGCGCCTGCGGCCCTTTTTCTCTATCCAAACCCTTCGAATCCTTCGAATCCCTCAAATCCCTCGCCCATCTCATCTGGCAGGTCAAAGTTGCCTCACCCGCAATAGGTGTAAAAACGCACAGCATGGAATTATGGCCAGTGTGTACCGGGGATTGTTATCCATTTCTGGCTTAGGCCTTCATGTTTTTCTCCAAAGCAACGAAGGCACGCAGATCGATATATTATATATATATAGATATATATATATATAGTATATGATAGATATATGATATAGATACATATTAGCTTAATTGATGTCTCTTATTTGATTCTATTTAATTATTCATTTTTGCGGGGGGTGCATTTATCACATGAACAGCTGACAGCATTCCGGATCTGATTTCCGGCCTTTGGGCTCTAAGTTCTCGCCGTATTGGATGCCTCAGATGGACGAAACTTGGAGAAATCAATGGATCAAACTTCAATGGCTTAGTCTGAAAATAGGGTACCATAGGGTACCCAATTCCAATGGATGATCATCATGTTCTCGGCTGTTTGGGGGTATCCCCTACAAGTATGTTCATCATTGTTCATCTATTTTCAGACAAACCCAAATGTTCGCCCATCCGTTTTTAGGAACTCAGTGGGTTTGATCCTTTTTTGGGATATCAAAGGGCAGCTTGAAGGCCATACAAAGAGGCCAAATGCCAAGGGTGATGACATCGCCATAACATTTGTTTCGGCTGGGATCACCCCCATGTTTTTCCGCAACATTCCGCAACCATGACTTCACAATAACCAGATCTGTGGCCCTCATTTGGGGCACCTGATTTATCATTCGCACGCGCCGCGCGGGTGAGTTCAGCTTTGTAGGGTAAATATATCTGATGCTGCAACCACTGGTTATACTACTTTTGCTGATTGAGCTATCAGTCTTCCTTAGCTAGACTAGTGTACTCTCCAATATATCCAATATTGGCAGTGTCAAAATGTTTCAAAACTGAAATGGCAAGTTCTAGTAATCCAGAAATTCATGGTCTATCTTTCAAAACATAGTGGCAATTTATCTGCCACACCCATTTTTGCAGGTTCCGCCGCTGGGATCTCTTGCAATGGTTCACATGGGCGAGGCACAACTCGATGGAATCCTGTTGGAGCAGGAACCGAGTTTGTCTTGCCACACAATGATGATTCGAAATGGCTGATAAGTCACTATTTCTACACAAAAAAAAACAATGTCTAACCTCGATTTTATAATTTCCCCATTTCAATTTTTTGTGGGTAATTATACCCTTTCAAGAAACTACCCACATTCCTGAGGCTATGGATTTCTTAAAATGGGGAAGCTCAAAAAAAACATCAAATGTTTGAATAGCGATTTTGAATGGGGATTGTGCAAACCCAATTTCGGGTAATTAACACAGCCGTTCATCGAACGGACCCAACGGTCTCAAAGATGGTTTACCATGGTGGATCCCCCCCATCAAACGGGACTCCAACAGTGTGGATGATGGCGAGTTAGATGCGGCCTGCCCTATCTCGTAAGTTGGGGATGTGTTAAGATTGAAGTGGCCATGGGCTAATGATGTAAACATAGCAATCGCCAACCTTGGGAAAATCAAACCACATCATTGAAGGGACGTAGCCAATTGGATGATGCGGATAGCCGGATAGTCTCAGATGGTTTGCTGAGAGGGTTGTGCTGGGCTTGAGCACGATCATAATGCTAACTCTAGACTGAAGTCTTGTGAATTTATATCTATGTATGTGCAAACTAGGCAACTAACAAGACCTAGCTTCCAGGCGCTATATTATGATATACTATACATAATCACATCATAATACTATCAAAATATAGACAGTGAGTAATACAGAGTCTTATCAGTGTTTGTTCCCATCCTGTCCCACCTAGTCCACCTTCCAACTTGAAATGCGAAGTTACTAGTCGATCTTTCAAACGGGAGGCAATCTCAACCATTCATTTCAGATTCCGGTCCAATTCTTCCCATGTCGCTATGATTTCAGCGTCATTTATCCTCGGCAGCTTGGGTACTCCAACCCCATGGGACGCTTAAATCCGTCCTCATCTTCGCGATTCAGCATCACAAAGCTGACCTCAAACTCGGCGCTGAGATTTTCATGTCAGGACCCACCAAACGTGTGCAAGCTGTGCAACATGACACGGGAGCATCATGACTTCAACTCAAATAATCTCAAATCCACATCGTAAATCGTGGTATACTGAAAGCTACGAAAGTGGGGAGTTCTGTGCACGTGAAATCCACAAGAGCATCACAGTGAACATAAAGGTCTTACCATTTAGTCCCATCTGCCTACGGATGAATCCCATTTCTGGGAGTTCACAATAAACAGACTCAATACATTCACCAGGGTTTCTCATGGTTTTGTCTTGTACCCCCTGGAAATCAAACATGGCTTGCTGAAAAACCAAATAAATAATCAATATAGCATAATATACACTATATATCCATTTAAATGCCCATTTATAGGGGATTTTCGATTGCCATCTTGATTGCCAAAGGGGGATGGATGGCTTTCCGTTGCCAATCTTAGATCCCCTTCAAAAACATGCATGTTCTGCTGCTCAGTCCATATGCCCATCAGAATTGCAAAAGCTCAAAGTATTAACCTACCCATCACCAGTTCGTTTCCCTAGAACTTTTGCTTAAACATCCACTTTTGATGGTTAAATGAAGCTAAATCACATTCATTTATATACATATCTATATCTGATCTAGCTGCTCATGACTGCATCCTCATCTAACTACACTCAAGATAAATGCATATTGTCATATTATAATTATTAGTTCTTGATAGTTCTTGATTCAACCCCAGTTGTTGACGCTCAAATTGCCCAATTTTTGGTGGCAGCCCTCTACCACTTCACTGAGTTGGTTGACCAAGGAATAGTCCTCCAGCAGCTGGCAGAATGCTTCGTTGAGCAGTCGAAACCTCGAGGCCGGGTGACATAAGGGCCAATATATGTCCCAAATCAATCCAAATCGCTGTTTTGCATCACTGAGATTCATTGAGTCGAGTCTTGAGTCTTGAGTTTGTGATGAATTGGATGATTTGAGGATCGATTTCGGCGAAATTAAGCCAATATCGAGTTAACATTTGGCCAAACCCCAGTCCAGCGTCTGCCACAGAACATCACTGTTTGCAATTGGCGTGAGATGGCTGTGACAAGCTGATAGAATTCAAACATCGTCGACCACAACTTGCTGAAATTCTGGACTTGAAAATTGCTATTTGAACATCATCCACTCATTTGCGCAATCTCCACGATCTATTCCGTTGATGTTTCGAATCCTCAACCTGGGTTTGTCTGAAAATACGGAAGCCCCAAAAGTTGAAGCTTCAACATACAGTATTCATCATATTTCTGGGTAAATTATATTAATTCAAATTAAGGCCATTTGGATGATTTCCCTTCTCAACATTTCTGAAAACCATGATTCCAGGGCTCGGGAGAACACTGAGGTCGTGATTAAATTTACCCAGATAATATTCACTATAGATTCCCCAAATGCTGGATTTTCCATTGGGACATATTGATTACCCATATACTATATATTTCATCATATTTCATCATCATATTTCCGTAGATCATCGTAGATCTCCAAATGTCTGACGGTCACTGACGGTCACTGGGCCTTGGATGGGTCGACTTTCGCAGATCCGCCAAAATGGCCTGCTTAAATGCGCTGCGCTGCAGATGTGCTGCAGATGTCGAGCAACATCGAGCAGTTCTGATGCGTGTGAAGTACCAGTTGATCCAGTTGTATCCAGTTGATATTTGTTGCATCAATCGGTTAAAATTCCACACAAAGTTGCCTTTTTGATATGTTTTGATCAACATTGATCAACGGAATGTTGCATCAGCTTCTAAAAGTTGATGGTCAACTGGTAAAAGCTATATAGAGTTGATCAAACATTTTGGGGATGATTTTCCGACTATAGAGGGGTTGTTTGAAGTCGTTGCAACATGTTGGGAACATGTTGCAACAGATACAGCTTGACTGGTCATTATCATCCAATCATCCAAGAATCTTTGAGCAGTTGTAACCTAGACGCAAACAACATCAAAACACATGGGTTGTGCACCTTAAAAGCTTCCAGAAACACGTGAGTCTGTCTGTCCAGAAGTTACTTCCTCAATCATTTTCCGTGACTGAACAATGGCCATCTGTGTTGTCGCGGTTTCCCCCAATTTTGTGTCATACAATAGCCTCCTGCCTGCGTGTCCCCATCGGTGTATCTCTCCACATCTGCCTGTCTTGACGATCAACACCCTGGTACACAAAGGGGAACAATATAGCTGGTTGCTATGGATAATCATCATTGTTCATCCCCCCAAAAAGATTCCATTGGAAGGTCAAAAATATGATGTATGGATATGTATGGGGTATATGGTCATCCCATGTCATCCCACCATCACTAGGGATTCCTTATCATCGGTATCGTATTTATTTATGAGGAATGACCATCCCCTGTGATGGAAAGTCAAGGGACAGACCTGTACCCCTTCCCCTGAGAGTTCTGACCCCTGGAGGAAGCAAATCGCATTTGGTCAATACATTGATGTGTGGCCTCGCAAAGCAGCTGGCTTTGGAACGTGCATTCTTAAAGGTACTATGGAACATTATGGAACCTGGCCATGGGAAATCTCCCCTTTAATGATTGTATTTCTGGAACGTCATCCAGAAATTGTGGGGCAAGGGGATTGTCCATTTCATTGCATGTCCATGTTTGAGTACCCGAGAGCAGTCTGAATCTTCGTTTCACGTAATTGTCGCCAAATTTGGGACACCACTCATGACATTGGTCACATGTTCACAGATGTTCACAGACCACTTCTGTTATCTGAAGCTTGCCAAGAAACGTACTGCGTACCAGGCTTAACACACTGTTCAAATTCTCTTGTTTTTGTGGGGGGACAAGTCAGTTTCGAACATGTTTTCGACTCTGTGATCCGCACAGTTCCAAGTTCACCATGGCTGTCAAAGCTGACAGAGCCTCGGTCGATAGTTTGGGGGGCGGAGGTGATGAGTTGATGGGTTAAATGATGTTAAACGTGCTAAATCATATTATGCCATCTCAGATCATGTTGAGTCATTTTAAGTTCATTTTTGTATCCTCACATGTTTTCTAGAAGATTTGTACGCAGAAATCAGCGGGTGAAATGTACAATTGATGGATCGTGGGTGGTGGCTCTGCAACGCACCGGGAATCTGTGAGGAATACGAACTTTTGATCAACAACCAGGATATTTGGGGAATTGCGGTCCTTAAAGTGAGAAATAACAACTTTCAAGAGGAAAACAAATCCAAAACGTATAGGATTTTGCTCAGATATGCTCAGATTGTTGGGAAAGCAACTGCGTTGGAATGCCAATTGCCATCACACAGCGTTGGGGCACGAACCCCGGACAGAAACTTTGATGCGTCCTGTCGAAATGGTCATGGGAGGTTGCGGTTGGGTGAAAGGTAACTAGCAACGGCTTTCAGCAAATCATCAGTGCTGAAAGACAGCCTGTATATATGGGTGCCAAATTGATTGATGGTGTATATACAGTGATATCCTTCTTCAATCACTGACCCAACACGATCAACAAGAACACTCCCAACCAAGCAGCGCCAAATCAAATCAAATCACCATATTGAAAGACTTTTCCCCCTGTTCATCTGCCTTTCTGTATTGCAGAATCCCAGTATTCCTGCGGAATGATTTCAAACATCATTTAAAATTTATTCCACTCATCACTCTAAGTGTCCAAATTACAGGTTGGTTCGCGAATGTCCCCAATTTTCTCTGCGAACCAACCGTTGCAAAGTCAGATCACTGCACCGTTCCCAGTCCTCAATGAAATTGACATCGATGCAATAGACCCCCGCCACTCGGAAGTCCTGATGTCCATCAGTGGTGCTTAGCCTACTGCCTCAGGTGAATAAATGAGTCAGAATCAGTCAGAAAGTGTTCAACCCATTGATAAACCGTAGCCCTACAGAGAGCATCCATTTTAAAAGGACACTTTTATAGAATTGGATTTGAAACCATCGAGGAATGCCAAAACTCATGTCAGAATAGATGCCAGAAAGAATGCCAGAATGCATGATTGAAAATATGTCAGAATATATGCCGGATAGAATGCCAGAAAGAATGTGAATACACGCCAGAAAGAATGTCAGAATACATGCCAGAAAGTATGTCAGAATAGATGCCAGATATAATGTCAGATAGAATAGAATGTCAAAGTATATCCCAGAAAGAATGTCAGATAGAATGCCAGAATAAATATGCCATATATACTTCCAAATGGTATGTCAGAAACATGTCAAAATGGTGTTTCAGGGTGGGGATCGAAGAAAGGAATTCGAGTGACCCCTCAAAGTAATCCGCATATTTTTTCCAGGGATTGTTGACCCTGGATGGATGGACATGATAGATCTATATCTGATATATCAAAGATCATCAATTCCCACAAGTGGGATCAAGTGGGTGCATGGGATCAAGTGGATGCCTTGTTTCACTTTCTCGAGGCGGATTCAGATCCACCAGATCCACGGCCCGGCCATGATGCCATGGCTGTCCTCATTCTGCAGCATATCCACCAAATCTCGCATTACCGGCAGGTGAGAATAAAGCTCAATCTGCCTCAGAAACTGTCGCAGGCCCCTGCCGATCTTGGACAGTGGGACCTACCATTCACCAATCAGCTATCCCAGTGAGGCGTGGAGGCTATGCGAAGGCATAGCCAATTCTCAGTCTCCCACCCTGGACAATCGAAGATGTAGTAGTCATCATCCAAGGCGTCAGCGATCTGTTCCTCTATAGAGGGCGCAGGTTCTACAGACGAAGTTGAGGTGCCCAATATTTTCAGGGGTGGATTTCAGCCAAACAAATAATATAATATATATATATATTTATAGATGTTGTGATTGTATATATATAATATCTAAACATATATTATTATATTATATATATATGTACATATGAATATACATATATATATATTTCTTATATTTATATGATATTATATATATATATATATATTGTTAGATTATATTGCATTATATGTATACATGTAAATATATAATTATATATGGTCCCGTCCTGGTGCATATATACACATATCAAAACATACATGTACCATGCATGCATATATATATATGCAGATATACGTGAATCATATATATCTATAATATACATGTATATCATTGTATCATATATATATATATATATTATACGTATGTATCTAAATCTATAGTATAGGAAATTCCAGGAAAAGAACTACCGGACTCTGCGGGTTTCAAAACTCTCCCCACTTCGAGAAAATGGTCGATGGCTTGGGCGGGGGTCAACCAATCAAGCTGAACAAAGACAGGGCCTCCAACCAATTCATGTTCTCCGACAAGTACTCCATGGCAAAGACCAGCCCTCCATTGGGGCCATAGTCAAGTTCCTGCACGAGGCGGCCATGGTTCTTTCTCCCGGCTGCCAGGGAGGCTGTTCTCCAGTTGCAATCTTGTAAAATCGAGTATGATTGAAAGCTGGACCCCTCACTAGTTGGTGGTTGAGCTACTGAGCTACAGTACCTCTTCCATACAGTATACATCAGTGTATACTGTACTCCAAGCTGACATGTTTGGCCTTTTACCTTCATTCCAGTGACGCCACTCAGCGATCATCCTTCGATCTTTGGGAAGAAACAGTAATGAAACATCACCAAGATACAGTATAGCCTATGGGTCAATACCCTGATACCCTGGTGAACACATCAAACTGGGTCGTAGTCATGGATGTTCATCAATGCTTCCAAAAAAAAACATAATGTCTAGATAGGTTTTGACTCTCCAAATTGAAAGCGCCCAGCCGCTCCCTTTTTGACAATCCTCCATGACGTCATCCACAGAGATGAGATCTCGCACCTAAAGAATGGACTGAAGTTTCCTTGAAGAGTGGTAGTTACCCTGGTAGTTCATACTAATTACTGGAATCAAATATGAATATGAACAATGCAATCTTGTCTCGCTCCGTTCATTGTACTTCCGTATGCAACCGGTCGTCTCTCCTTGGTCAACGAATATCAACCAAATGTGTCTTTTGGATTCTTTTGGGGCGTCTCAAAGCATCCATTTTGTTGAAACGTTTTTTTTCGCTTCAACCCCATCTCAAAAAAATTCAATGGTTCAATTCAATTTCGTTAATTGCTATTGTTTTGCTATGCATCTCTCCCCCATCCCCAGCCGAAGCACATCGACATAGCAGTCGTAGAGGAAGTTCTCGGCTGCAGGATCCAAGTTCACCACCCTGCAGGTTCTGCGCATGGCCACTTTGAAGTGTTCCTGTGGCAATTCGTTACGGTAGTTTGATCGGTTTCGAAGAAGCTGATGCGTTTTTCTGGGTCATGGTCATGGCTCATTTCTTGGATTTTCTTGGGGAAAACCATCCATAGTAGGGATTTTTATCCACATGACATGATCCATACTATAGTTCATCAATGTTCATCACAGATCCAGATTTCCTCCCTACCAGATCCACATTTCTGAAGCGTTGGATTCCCGAGTCCACCGTCCGTCCTGGATGATGGCGCAATATGTGGACCTCACGTCACGAGCTGAGTTGAAATCTTGGGAGAATGCGAAATTCAGCCGCAAGAAAAGTATGTAATTATATAATATTATATATATATATCATAACATTATACACACATTATATTATATAACATGTTATAATACATCATACAACTATGTTGCAGCTTTATGATATTAAAAATGAACCGATATGTTTTTCCCTCAACAAATGCTAGTCCCCTCCGGTCATTGACATAGCATGGCATAGCTCCTTAGCTCCTGAACTCCTGGATCGATCCTTTTATTAAAAAGGTCGGTCGAGTCGCTTGCCACATCCGGCCGGTCCCATCACAAACTGCGCGAACTTCATGGGGGTCCATGGAGTTCATCCGCGACGGCGGTGGAGAACTTGCGGGTTGAAAAAGGCATAAATTGGCACAGTGTATGGCTGTGTGTCAAAACCTATAGTACCCCTGTAGTGAACATGAAAATAGCTGGGATTTATGGATGTGAATAACCCACTAAAAATGGTATTAATAGGTATTGATCCATACCCATATGGCTGTATGTTGCTGTATAGATAGGAAGGGAGATGTTGAGCAAAAAAAGGGAACATGAACTACTTATGATTGAGCCGCTCCCCTCGAACATCTGTGATTGAAGTACATGAAAATCACATGCTGATCATCATCATCTATTTGGAATGGGATAAAAAAAAACAACGATTCGAAACACCAAGCAAACTTAAGCCTTTGCTTCTCGCGATTGACTCTTAAGCGGCATTGCTTTGGTTTGATCTGGCTGATTGGTTGGTGGTTCAACCAGCAGAACGGTTGGGATTCAGTCAGAACATAGCGCATGTGCCGCATCAGTTAAGCCAATTTAAGCCATCACCCCGGAAAATGGAGCGACAGGATGTTTGGGTGCCCACTTTGCCAAGAATAACTTCAAGAACGCTACAATAAGGTGCTCACATTGGCCTGCTTGCCAGGGCATTTATCTTATATAGTGTGAATGTAAAGTAGAGCAACAGTCAAGGCATATTTTCCAACCTAGGACTGTTTCTGTTTTATACATTTTTATACCATATATAGAATCCATTATAGTCATGATGAACTGGCACTTCTGTAGCAGCTATTTCAGTCAGCTTGAGCCCAGCGCAATCGCAGGGCGCCGTCCCTGTAAAGGTGGAGGTGTCAGTGTCAGCGGTCCTTTTTGTATGGAGGGTTTGGAGTATCCCTATCTTAATCATCCTTAATCAATTTTATCTGAAGGTGGGGCAAAATCTGTGATACCATAATTTGATATAATGTGGACCTATTGGATGAACATAGGAGCTGCATCCAGTTGAGTGTTTGCCCTATAGCCATCTCAACTTCACAACGTCGGCTTCGCACCGGGCTCGAAGTTTTTGCAAGGGTCAAGTCGAAAGCATACAGTATTGCCCCAAAGCAAGCTCCAGTCGGTCTCCAGTGTGCCTTTCCACCAAAAACCAACGGGTTCCAACGCTATGTACAGAATGTGGCTCCACCAAACTTCTAGTCACGCTCAACCGTAACGAGGCCGATCAGGCGTTTTGTAAAAGGAGCCTGGCCTGGCCACTCCGAGCGATTTCGGGATGTCATGCGAAATGAGCAAATCGTTTCAGGACCAATCAACACAAAGTGAAGGAGTTTCAAGATTGGGCATGTTTGTTGGTTACATGTTACATCCCAATATTCACAATTGTATAGTAGTAAAATCCCCATGTGCTCATTTTTAGCATCAAACCATCCCCATTTTATGGCCCTTTCAGTATGATTAGTGATTAGTGTCTGGAACTGGGAGATCCAATTGATAGCCGCCCATCAAGTGCTTCCGCCTGCGCTGTTGGAACCTCAAGCCGTAACGACGGAAGGCATCACCAGATGAAGCAATGGGAGAATCACCAGTGGATCGACTGCAACAGAAGGTGATGTTCAAAATCTTCACTTCAGACATTAACACTAAGTCTATTTAACAATACTTTTCTTTCAACTTGACATGGAAACCATTGGAAAGCCTCGTGTCCTTTCGCATGGATATTGAAGTCCTTCAATTCAAGTGTCCTGAATGCCACAACGAGTCGAACCACAGCCACCCCTTGGGTCAGGCTGAGATGGTCCCGCAATGGTCCGGGGTATGTCTGGGTTGCTGGGAAGGTTGGTGGTAGCCGCACCAACTATCCTCAATTAGATGCCTTAGTATGGGTCCAAATTCAGTACCATCAGTCCCTCATGTACCATTCCAGGTGATCAATTTTGACCCACAGTCATCACCCCCTCAGGTTCTGGCTGCCACCATCCACCGAAAAAAGCAAGCGCACCCAAGAATTGCGGTTGGTAGTTTTCTGTCACGTCTGGTTGCTGCAGGAATTGTTTGCAAAGATTTCTCCACTACTTCTCCAACTGTTTCATAGTTTGTTCATGTTGCGCATGTATGACAACACAACTTGCTGACCTGCAGGAACCAGGTGCAACGGCTGGTGCGGTTCAGGCGACCAAAAAGTAGTGATCTTTACGACCCGTGCCCTCCATCAAGAACTGACCCTTGTGTAGCCCTATGTAGTTCTATTTAGATACATGATACAGGTGAGTTTCCACCCATCAACGGGAATTCCGCGTTGTCATGCTTTTTGACCCGAGATTCCTCATCACATTATATAGGTGTTCCTATTCTTCTTTTCCACCGCTCGGCTGCGCTTTTGGATTCTGATTCAGACGACCCTCGTTTTGAGGATGCCAAACGCATGGAGCACGAAACACGACAAAACTATGTACAGGTGCCAGGAGCATGGATAGCTTCATATCCTTTCATAACCAAAATAACCAAACCATCCGAATACAACAAAGCTGAACAAATAACCACGGCTTTGTCAGTGCGTTCCGCAACAAAAAAATCCCTTCAGAGGTTCAAACATCCGTGACCCGTTTGTTAAAGGCACAGTTGTCTCAGGCAGTGCAGGATCTTTTTGAAACCTCCAGAATCCACTGGCAGTCAGTGATTTCCATTGATTTCCCCCATGATGCTACAAATTTTGGAAGGAATTCGTTGGAACCCACTGTTCTCAGCTTTCGGTGGGAGCATCCCGTGGTGTTTTACTTTGACTCATGAGTTCGGTTACCCAAATCCACCAGCCAAGGCCCACATTGTCCGTTTCAGTAGGGTACCTGGCACAGCTAACCTGAGGCACCCTGAAAGTAAAGTCACCTGGGATCATGGTTACATTTGCGGAGATGAACAATACCAGATGATATAATTGAACATCAATGAAAATCATTGAACATCAAGTTTGGGATCTCCCTTTTAGCAAACTAAGCATGCCTGCATCAGCAGCCCATCAGCTTGCAGTTTCCTCCTCAATCAACCCCGGATTCATCAAGGTTGATCGGGGGTCGGGGGTCCTGCGAAATAGATACGAGACAATCTAGTTAAATGATGTTAAATGGTACCCGGTACTCCGCAATTCAACATATTCAACAGCTTAGACTTAGATCAGCTTAGGAGTTTACTCAACCAGGCTCTTGACCATTCTTGTATATTGTTGTCCCTTTATCCAAACTGACCAATCATGTTCAATAACTTAAAAGATAACTTGGGCTCCATGACTCAGGAACCCTATGGAAATCAATGGAAATCACCAGCAGCAATGGGGATTTCACTGAACAATGGAACCAATGGCCTGCTGTTTGGGTTGACCGTGACCAGAGCTGGGTCCCAGCACTGTGTTTGCCAAGTCCGTAAACTCCTGAGCGCCCCAGTTTCGATGTGAGGAATGTGGAGCCAGGTAGGAGTTTATAGAACCAATGATTTTGCGGTAGATTTTAGGGAGATTTCACACGGGGACAAGCTTTTTGACCCCAAGTGTAGGGATTTCCTGTGAATTCTACCTGCCATCAATTCTCTACGACTGACTAATTGGTGGACCAGCCACCTGCAAAAGTTCACAAATATGACCTGCAGTCAATGGGGCATCATTCGGTTTTTGAGGGATGAAAGTGATGAAACAAAGGAAATATGTCACACCAACAACTATCCATTGTTTGCGGATGCGAAGGAAAGTCTTTCTAGGATCAAAATAATTATAATTTCAGCATTAAAACATAACCATCACATACAGGTCAAAGTCAAACACACTGGTGGCCTTTGATTTGATGATCCAAAGAATTCGGCTATTTGGGATAGTTACCCCAATCCTAACCAACATAGGATGATCCCAAAAAAGATCCTGAATCCTCACAACTGAATCATCCCAATCCGGGATCCGCATGTGGATCCTGAAATATCCTGAACATGTGGCAGTTGTTTCCATGCAATGCATAATGACTGTATGATACTCTATGATACTCTATGTATGTGTAAAAATTGTAACCAGTTTGAGATCCCGGCAAAGACTACAGTACGGACTTTGGTCAATGCTGTCATCTGTATCACGTTTACTTATAAAGTCTCATAAACCTAGTCGTGCATAGTCGTGCATCAAATCCGCGGAATCTTTGGCGAATCTGTGGTTCGCTTCTGGCCGGATTTCATGGGTCAGTCATCGAACTTTCAATCGCTGTTCGGTGGTTGCAATGGCAAACAACTCCTCGATTCGGCTCATTCTCCCAGGATTCTCCCAGGATGACCACCAAGCATAGTGATGGAATGTTCTGGTTATACACTTAGTTAATTACAGTTATACTCCCCCTTTACGTTTTCCGGCAAAATCCTAGGTTTGATATGGTTTGATCGCCAGTTTTGTTACCAGTCCCTCTGAGTATCTGGCAATGGTCTCAACCTCTGCTGTCTGTCTGCTGTGTCTCGACACGGCCTGGGACAAAATGCCCGAGCCAATTGGATGCAATCCAGAACACACAATATCGACATATCTGATAATTCTATGGAGAAATCTCCATTTATCATATGTCCATGAACTGAATGAATTATCCCATGTGAATAGAGAATAAATATGATAAATCTCCATAGAATTTCCCATATTCCATATTCATGTTATTTCTCCAGGAATCATCCCATGAGCTAACCAGGAACTAAGCACACCATGGCACCGCACCTCCTCCAGCGATTCCAGCAACTCTTTGGGATGTCGGAGATGACTTTGAATCTGGTTTGAGGCTGGGAAAATCATCTGATTTTTTAAATGGAAGTTTCAGATGGGAAAATATGGGAAAATATGGGAAAATCATGGGAAAATATGGGAAAATCATGGGAAAATCATGGATCTATCCATTGAAAAAATTGCTCTGTTTGATTACCGGAGTCGCCAATCCAATGTTTGGTGGAAGTTTCGTGCGGTGGTTCAAAGAAACAAAGATAAACATATATAAATATGCTGAATAAAAAATGGAAAGTTAGGGACCTGAATGTTTCAATATATAGTGATTTGCTTTTCTTGGCTTGTGAGGTCCAAGACAAATCCAATGTCCCTCTGCGCTTCAAATTGGAATTTGGATGCAACGCATGGTGAGCACAAATATATCACGCGTTGTGGGCTATCTATATATATATATATATCTGTATATATATATATGTATATATATATATGTATGTTGAAGGCTATAATCCCAAATCTTATTGGTCATTTCTTGTTGGTTGAATCCCTCATAAATCCTCAGGAAATAGTAATGTAGGATCAACCGGTTTTTAGACCCAGTAACAGTATCAATGGCTAATAGTTGGAGAATTCGCACATGTTATATCATCACATACGTATACATATATAATATATATATATATAATTATATATAATATTATATAATGTGTCATAATAACATATAATAACAGTAACATTCTCATTGGCCATCTCCTGACCATTCCTGACATCAGTCGGCTGCCCGGCAACCGCCTCCTTGAATGTCAGCTCGGTGTCCCTGCCGCGCATCATCATGTCCATCGAGGTCACAACTCACATGAAAAATCTCCGGTGGCACCCTCTTGTAATTTAACGCAGGCAACCCGGCAGGTATGAATATCAATGAACATCACCACTGTCAATAAGTACACCATCTATTTTTGAGGGCCGTTGTCCAGAGCTATGTTCAATTACCAGGGGGTAAATCAAAATCATGTGGTAGAACCTGGTACACCCATACGCCCAAGTCCTTGCAATGTTTGCGTTTGACAGCTATTCCCAATCAAAACGCTCGCCACGACCCCTGTCCCGGCACAGACCTTGCAAAAACCCTTTCCCCATTGGAAACGCTAGCTTTAACAAGCCTTGACCAAACTATCATGGTTCTATTATGTTCTATTCGTTTTTAATCGAATCCCATCGGAACGCCGGTTTCCAACGGGCCTTTTTTCGTGGGCACTGTTGACGCCCACAAACAAAAACGCGAAGCAGGCCCTTTTCCTAGTTTGTATACTGCAGGATGGGTTCTGATAAAGGAAAAAAACGAGGTCCAAAACGAGGTCAAAACGAGGTACGGAAAAAGCCCCGCATCTACACACATGGACTTTGGCCCGCAAGCCGCAAACCTGCCCTTCCTTGGATCACTGGTAGCGAAACAATGACAATTTGCAGAATCCCAGCACACCGCCATGGCAGTGTAGAGATGATAATCCCAGCGTTGTGTAGAAGTACCCGGAAACAGCAACAGCAGCAGCCGTCGAACCAGCAGCCGCAGCAACAGCAAGACGCCAGTAGCTGCAGAACCCAACAGCAACCATCCCAAACACAATGAGAACGCAACTAGCAAGATTAAAGCACTATGCTAATAGTAAAACAACGCCCTACCCCAAACACAACCTAAACGCCGCTTCGCCACTTTATGTCTACATGAGATAGTAAGACAGCAACCTACCCTAAACACAAGCTAAACGCCGCATCGCCACGACTTCCACAAAAGCCTTCCCCCAAGCTAATTTCAAGATTTTTGGGATTTCGCCACGACTTGGGCAGTTGGGAGTAGAACATGGTAGAACATGGAATCACCCGTCAATAATAATGCATTATCACAAAATATATTACAAGTTGCAGTTGCAAAGAGTTTCCAAACATAAACTGTCATGAACTGCCATCTAAAATTTAGAAACTTTTTTTGGATCTATACCCAGGTTCTCCCAGGCTTCGGGCGCGGCCTTATGGTCCGCTTCTGGCTCCGCCACTGCCAGTAGAAGTGGTGCAAACCTGCTCATAACCCATGGAACATCTCCCCATTTGTAGATGCTTTTCCCATGAAAGCCATAAAAAAGCCTCCATTGAGTTCGGGGATTTCCCAGAAGGGTAACCTTGTGACATGCAATTGATCGAATCAAAGTCACCCAAGAATCGACGTGACAAGACCTTTTTTCAGAGTCGCCTCCGCAGAATGCACGAGAAGACGCGTCAAAGACCTGGAACTAGAGAAACTGGGACTGCTGAGACAAAAAAACTGGCTCACTTGGACACTTTTTTTGTGACAGTCCGCCTTCGAGGAATCCGACATGTCTGAACCTCGTTTGTTTGGGCAGTGTAATTTAAAACAACTTCCACTACAGTTTCATGCCACCAACCTTATTGTTTCCAGTATGTAAACATCATTTCTGGTGAAGCCTTCATTAATTTGGCGGAGGCACAGACCTATCTCTACAGCCCCCCCCAAACCTTCACAAGACATGCCAGGTGGCACACAGCCCTCCAGGCTTGAAAGTTGGTTGGCCACCAGGGCATCCATCACCATCTTGGTGATGTTGATACACACGGCGGCCAGGGGGAAGTTCTGCTGGACGTCCTCACGCGGAATCCATCCATCAGTGGAGGATGATTTTTCCAAGTGAAAATCACAAAAAAAAAAACATGGCCAGAGGGTCCACTCGTATAACTACATCATTGTGGTGCTTCTCATACATACATTTATATACAGTATCCGCCGACCCTGGCAAAGCAAGGGGGAGTGCTCACTGGAAGAATAGTCTTTAGGTGTTGCAGCAGCAACAACAACAGCAACGACAAACGACAACGACAACGAGCGGGCGACATTCTGGGCAACACCAACAACCCATGGGGCATCGCCGGTGTGCGATGCCCTACAATATCCTACAATATACACATTGTAGCCATGAAAATTCTTTTGAGTCCAAGAAAAATGACGGCCACCACAGCCAGTGGCATCCCGGCCCATGATACAAAATCCATGGGCTGAATGCGATTCCCTGGTACTTTGGGCGCGGCAAATCACGAACCTCTTCGGAGAATCCCTGATAAAACACCGAATTTGAGGGATTTTGATACTGACTGGTGCTCATGCAAGTGAATTCATGCAAAAATCAATGCCCAACGCGCCAAGCAGTACTGCTTCGTCCTGAGACAGATGATATGCTGACTTGAAGATTTCGAAGTAGTGAGCAAAAAAGAAGAACATATGGACGACCTGGGAAAGCCAGTGACAGGGGATCAAACGTATGGACATATTGGGCCCCCTCAACAAAGCCACAAAAATGGCAACCAGATGCAAAGCACCCAGCAAACAAAATATGACCTGTACCCTCTGGTTATTCAACATAGCTATGGAAGCCATGGCCCATATAAATAGATGATAAAAGTATTGTTGGAAGTGATGATTAACCAAGCTATAAAATGGTGATTTTCCAGTTTGCTACATTAGTACTGTATATCTCATTTCCCATGATAATCCCATTGGAGGAAGCAAAAAGGTCCATAGTTCTATGGCAACAGCACGCAACAGAACACCATCCGAGCCATCACTTCAGAACCCTAATAAATAGATGATAGTAGATGATAGTAGATGATAGTAGATGATAGTAGATGATAGTAGATGATAGTAGATGATAGTAGATGATAGTAGATCATAGTAGATCATAGTAGATCATAGTATATCATAGTAGATCATAGTAGATGATAGTAGATGATAGTAGATGATAGTAGATGATAGTAGATCATAGTAGATCATAGTAGATCATAGTAGATCATAGTAGATGATAGTAGATGATAGTAGATGATAGTAGATGATAGTAGATGATAGTAGATGATAGTAGATGATAGTAGATGATGATGATGATGATGATGATGATGATGATGATGATGATGATGATGATGATGATGATGATAGTAGATAGTAGATGATAATAGATGATAATAGATGATAATAGATGATAATAGATGATAATAGATGAAAATAGATGATAAAAATATATATAAAAAAAATATGATTTACCCTATAAAAAAAGGATGAACAACATGGTGATTTTCCATAAGGGCCATCTTTGAGGCCCCAGGCATTCAGCAGTCCCCCAGAGCGGTTCAGATCCGTCAAGGGGTCACTGCCCTGGAAGCCTAGCACCTGGGCGGAGGAGTGTGGTGTATGATCTGATCATCTATTTGTATCTATTAGTATCTATAATATCATATATTAAAATAATTCATAGTAATGTATAGATCTATATCTATATCATTCTATATCTATAATATCATGTTATGCATAGTAATGTATAGATCTATATAGTAATATATAGTGAAAATTCTATAATATGATATATCATGTCTCATTCATGGCAGGATTTTTTTGGATTGCAACCCCAACCTGCGCTGCGTGGCATTCAAGCGACCGGCCCGCCTCCCAATGGCTGCCGACCCGTGGGCATACCTGGCATCTCGACAGCTTGCAGTACATGGTGCGCAGCATCCGGTGATGCATCGCATCATAGAAGTCGAACCTGATCCGCGCATGCCCATGGTGACTTGGTGAAGAGTTCCCAACTGAAAATTGAACCAGTTGTATATCGCCCTCTGAAATCAACAGTAACCAACAGAGGGTGAAAAGACATTGCCGTTTTTGATACGCTTGAAACAAGATAGAGGCAAGAGTCTGGTATATGAAGAATCCCATCATTCACCAAGTATCAACCAGTTTCAATGGGCGAGAAAATCTACACTAATCAACCAGTGTGAGCTAGTGGCCTTCATTTTGTGGGTCTCCTTCAGCAAGGTCAAAGGTTGAATTATGGATTGGTTTAAGTGTTTGAGCCAGTTTTGCTATTATATACATATATATATATGTGCTATTGTCACCCTTGTTTCCTCCATTTTCCTCTTGAAGTCAGCTTCCTGGTCATGTTGGCAAGACACTTTTCGGGCGTAGTTTGCAGCCAGTTTTTCTGCTATTTCCCTCCACCTCCACCGAGAATGGAGCTTGTTACTACATGTACCCTCTGGTAATTTAACGTAGCTATTGAAAATCACCATTTTTAATGGGAAAATCAACTATTAATGGCCATTTTCAATAGCTATGTTAAATTACCAGAGGGTAATGCAAACAAATCATTGTTTCCACTGTAGATGTTTCCTTAAACGAATCCAATGATGTTTAAAGTGCTTGTATCTCACTGATGAGTGGTTACGGACTATGCGCCAAAATGTCTGCCTGCCAAAACATGGCCATGAGGTCGTTACGAACATGAAATGTTCAGAGACTCTCTCTAGGTATGTATTTGATTGTATTTATACATGCATATATATATAATATGTATATAATGGGTGACAAGCGTAATCAATTATTGTGTACTTCTCATCTCCCCAAAGACATCCTTCTATTTCTTTCGGCCCCAAATTGCATCTACCAGGCTCCCCTGCTTCGTAGCCTTCAAGCGAAGAACAAACTCCTTGTCCAATCTTCAGAGCATAGAGATCATGACATATCCATACAGAGATTTATCATGATTGATTTATATGGAGAGATATAGGGAGATGAACCAATCATCAACTGCAGTGCTGACAGCAAGAAAAAGCTGAAGAGCAGGAGTCATCGTGCAAAAGGTCTGGAAAAACACAGAGTGAGTTGATCGTCCCCGAAAAAATGGGGCATTCTCAACATCAGCTACTGGTGCTGGTACAGTATCATCATTTTGGTGCTGGGGAATCAAGACTTATATATAGGAACTGGCTCAGCACTGAATCCCAATAAAGCATTAGGGCCACATATAGCTGTGCTGATATAGGAATTGGTGTCCTTTGCTACTGTAGTCCCTAGACGCAGAGTTCTTTCTCTTTTTTGGGGGATGGCCATTAAGATACAAGGAACATCAATTTAAGATGAAACTGCATGTATTGATATTCCAACCCTAATATTCAAGCCAAAGATGCTTTATGTTCACCAATACTTGTAGGATACAGATGATACTTGAGTTTGCCTCTTAATTTCGCTTAGACGTGCTTTAGCTGCTTTCGTCTAAGATATGAAGGTTTCCTAAAAATGAAGGCTACCCCCAAATCCTCCATGTATGGATTTTCCATTATAAGCATTTAGAAACCATCCATTTTTGACATGGAAACGGACCCATCTCCTTATCCATGCAGTCGCCTTGACTTGACCTTGCCACGAGGATCCCCGGTGACCTATTGGATCCATTTGGATCCTATTGGCACATCTCAACATCTTTAGGAAGTATGATCTTCATTGGTTCACTTGCTCTGAAACATTGACTTAGTTTTTTTACTTATTATTCTATACAATAATATATGTCTTCCTTTGTTTGATGTTTTTTTTGGCGCAAAAATAACACCATCAATCCCATCAATCCACAAGGAGTACTATTCATCAATCGGATTACCCTGATTGTCCTACTCATCTCTGCCAAGCGTTTTATTCTGGGTGCTCGGCTTGCTTGAGGAACCTGCAATTGCGAGACATGCATCTCCGGGTTTCATGGTGCCCCGCCACTTCTAAGTTGGCTTACCAGCCCTAAACTAAATGGCTATGAGTCAAAACCCTAGCGCCCTAGGTACTCTCAAATAGCTGGTTAATGGATGGTTATTCGCCCAAATATGACAAACAATGTCAAAGATCAAGCTAGCAAGGATGCAAACACCACATGATACCCTTCGCCCTCGTGGCCGACATGGCTAGCTGGAAAATCCCCGACACTTTGGCAGGTTTTTGGCGACACATCGAGCCTTGATCAGAGGATTGGCCGCCAAACTCCTGCCCGGATCCAGGAATGATAGGGAATATACCCTCTGGTTATGTCAAAATAGCTATTGAAAATGATCATAGATAGTGGATTTTCCCATGAAAAATGGGTGGATCTTTCCAGTTCGTTATGTCAACGTTTACCAGAGGGTACCCTCCAGTGGGTTGGACCACTTGGACGATAAAATTTTGCCAATGATGAGGTATACAAAGCCATTCTTGTGTGGTTAATGTCCCCATATCCCCATGATTTTTGGTTAATGTTGGTTACTAATACGAATGTTACTACTCCAATTGTGCTTTGATGTTTGATAAAACATGATAAAACGATATATTGATTGATCATTGATTTACCAGACCCTTCAACTTTCCATGCCACCGTCCCATCACACCAAGAGGTCACAGAATTTTGGCGCGTTCCACACAGGAGCTGCCCTCTTGTTGAGGGGCCAAGAGTGGCCACACCACGAACCGCAGACCATGTTTGGAGGGCACATATAATTCGAGCCATCTGCTGCTCATGGGGCTTCTTGTCGAAGTTCAAGAAGAGCATCTACAAACTCTTCCAAGGTCTCCTTCAAAAATGGGTGCGCGCTGCATACAGACTGGATCTCCTCAAGGTCTGCATCTGAGAAAGTGGCGTAGGCATCATTGTAGTCGGTAGGACCTGGGGGTCAACTCACCCTGCTGGCACCTGGGTAACATCCTAAAATCAAAGTCAGCAAATATTGCAAGAATTATCACAATAAGAATTGATTTCTCTATTTTAGGGCTACTAATTACTAGTTTTGACACATACCATCACATACCCGAATTATCCGACCTGAATAAACTGGAATAGAATCTTGCTGTAAAACGGTGACGACTCCCCTGAGCCACTGGTCAACACATCTCTTTCTGTAAGCCAAACGCACATAAATACCAGAGGAATGATACGGCTCTGCCCTCAAAAAGCCTTTCAGAAAAGTGGAATTCCACGCTGGCTTCTCAAAGGCCCATCGCATGGAGCAACCAACCTTGGGAGCCGCCAAATCGAAGAGTCTGGCTTCGAAGTGGCTGATCCACCGCTGCTCTTCCTGCGTGAAGCTGTGTGCAGGATAGTACCGGAGGTGCCGCCCTTTGCAGGTCTCCTCCAAAACATCCGGGGCTTCGGATTCGTTGTTTGCAAGCATGGCCTTGTGACGCTCAAAGGCCTTGTCCAAGAGCTGCCGCAGATGAATTTCCCTTGTTCTCTTGGAGTGTGGCCCCCTCCAGAAAGACTTGGCTTTGGCCAGCAGCGAAAGCACCTGACGCAACTGCACACCGTTCTCAAACGAAGGACCAAGGTTACTGCTATCCTCTTCCAAAACTCGCAGGCAAGCGTGAAACATCAAGATCACCGTTTCCGGAGTATGACCACAATGGCTTGCTGCACACAAAACGTTCATAAATTCAACACACAGCGCTTCAGGACTGTGTCTATCCTCCTGTATTTTCAGAAAAACCGCCGTCGAGGAAGTGGCTGAGTCCAGGATGTTCCGTTTCGTCATCTTCACAAACCAAGGTGCGAATCCACATCTCAGCGCCTCCGCATGCGGGATAGAACAAATCATGTTAGCCGCAAGCTCATTTGCTCTTCGAAACCTCCATGGGTAATCCGTTCTAACATCTGTCTGCCATTTAGTAAGCACAGTTTCCAATGTCGCCATGGGTTTTAAAAGCGGCTCCTGCACAGGCATCTCTGGCAGGGGACCATCTTTTCCACCCTGCAGCCGGCTGAATAACTCCGCAAGCACGGAGCCCATAAAGCATGGGAAATGCTTGACCAAGCGGTAGAAGACCTCCTTCACCTCATATTTGTCAGCAGCCGCGATGATGTCCAAAGGGCACATGCTCAGGTCCTCTCGCCAGAGCAGGCCGCCGAACCCGGGGAGAGCTTTGGCCATAGTAATCTTGGTGTCTAGCCCCCCATGGTGGACGAACAGCTTGCAGCAGAGGAATCCACACTCCTCCAAACTCGAAATTGAGTCTGTGTACTGCGTCACGAGCCAATGTCCGAAACTGGACCTCAGGGCCTTGCTCGCAGCAGAAAGGTAGACGCGAGCCGTCGCATCGCAGCGGTTGAGCAAAAGGCCGTCACTGTCCTGCGGGATCCACTGCAGCAGAACGTCCTGGTAAAATGATTCCCTCATCGTGGCAAGGTCGATAGAGTCTTACGGTGCATTAGTGCATCATCCATTGTGTCTCATGGGTTCAGTTGGTTGTTGCACTATAACACATGCTTAGATAGCATTGAAAACAACATGTTGATACAGTACATTCTACAAGTAGGAATCTCTAGGTGCCCAATGATAATCCATCCCTCAAACAGCTGCACTTAAGTTCAGCTGGGACCATTCGGCAGCATGGTCTTCAACAGGGCTGGAACCGTTGGTCACAGAAGCAAATCATGGCTCGACATCACTTCGGTCCTCGAACAGAATTCTTTGCACCCATGCGGTCGATAATTGATCATGTTTTTTCAGATTGAGGGTTTGTCCTGAAATTGGGTGCCCTCAAAATGTCATGATTGATCATCCCTTTTCCCATTAAAATAGCCATCACCTGGTGCTATTGAGGTAGCGTCTCTCCTACCTCATGTTTTCATCATTTTCCCAACTAAAATGGCCCTTGCACTGAGGACCCATCATGCGCCGCCAGGATCAAATCCCTTCTGTTGCAAGGGCTTCGCCAGCAAGTGGCCCCTTCTTGATGTTTTTGATCATATATATATATATTGATTGATTGATTGATTGCTGTCTGTCAATATTATGGTTATTGTCGGTTGATTTGTACTTAATATATCTTAATATGTTTGATGCCAACATCCCCATATCCCCACTAGGGCTTCTCTCATCAAATGGCATACACATCTGCAGAACAACGATGCAGTCGTCCAACCTTTGCAACCATCCCAGCCTGCAACAGCCAGGCATGTACCTACGCTGGTCATCTGCTGGGCCATAAAACAACTGGGGGATTGACCAACGAACCCAGGGGAAATCGGGGATTTACACTTTGAGCAACAAGATGTGGGCAGGCATAAAACCAACCATACCGGGTATTATGGGGATCTAGATATATACACATATTATAATTATATATATTATACGAAAATAAATAAATATATATATATATAATATTATTATTATATGCGTGATATTTGGGCCGGTCTGAAAAATTGGGTATACCACCAAATATGTTGTTTTGATACGGAAAATGATGATAACCTATCAATTTCAGGGGTACCCTATTTTCAGACAAATCCACTTGGTAAAAGACCTATTCTTAGTGGATCTTGGTGGTAATTCTTTAATATCCACGTCATACACCAAAAATTATGCTGCCCCAGTAAAAAAATCTGCCGTCATCATTAATAATTCCATATCTTTCTTGGCAATAGACCTCAAATGTTTGGTTCCACAAAATGTTCAATCTCAATTCTTTTGGCCTAAATCCAATCTTTTTGGGGGTTGCTTTAACATAAACATTCCCATACATTCCCAATATATATCATATATCCTCATTACATTAAATATCCACCACGTGACTTTGGCAACCCTAAATTCGTCTCTTCAGACCACATCTGGCCTCTTTGTAGTAGACTGGTTGGGCTAGCACCTCGATCGATCGCTGGTGACAGATGAAGCACAAAAAAAATATATGTGGTGGTTGTTGCGTCCAGGAACCCACAAGCGATGTGGTGAATCGCACTAAAATCTTCTAGACTACCCTTTCAGGTGCCTTGCACCGCCCAGGAAGTCTGCAGCACCCTGAAAGTTGTTGATGCCATTTGATCAATACGTTGATCTTATGTGTGTTTCCTAAGACATGGGGGCACCCCAATAGCTGGATGGTTTATTTCATCGAAAAACCATCTAGAAATGGATGATACGAGTAACTGGGGGTACCCCCATGACCATATGGGGTTGCGTCAAAATTCGGGTATGGATCGGCCCGCGGTGATCCAGACGTATGGAACGGTCTGGATCACCTGCGTTTTGGTATGGATCGGGGGTATGGATCGGCCTGTGGGTTCAGGGTGTGGATCGGGGCTTTATATTTTGACTCACAGCCATATATGTATATATATACATATACATTTCGAGAATCACACCCCAACTTTCCCAGACTTGGAACCCAGGCATCCTGCTGCACTGCAATCTTCCCTTTGTTTTCCCTTGCCTGGAAGCAATGAGAGCATTGGCTGCAAGCCAGGTATATAGTATACACCTCTAAATTAACAGACTGGCCATGAACATTTATCATGATTCTGATGAAGTGTTTGCTGCATAGTCGATCATCGTTCCTGAAATAGGGGTACCCCAAATCATCCTAAATCAATTAAAACCTCTCGTGTTGCAGATCCTCCACTTTAGGAATCCCCCCCCCATATCATCATCAGCATCATCCCATCCCACCTGCTTGGCAAGTTCTTCGCTTTTTCTTCCGATCTCAGCCCATTCCTCTTCCACGTCCTCCTCACCTGAGCCGATGTGGTGCCTGAAACCACCCTGAGTTTGTGGTCACTACTATGGTATCACCTAAAAAAAATCCCCAGAAAGATAGACAAATAGATCTCCATTGAAATAGCATGGACCAAAGAACATAAGATATAATATATATATATATATGTCTACCTTTATTGGGAATGCCAACTGCAAGCTGGATTCATTCCATTAATATGTTTATACAGGGCTTCGCTTCCGTTGAGGTTGCCATTGTGGGTTGCAAGTATCCTTACTGAACCAGGTTCTAGAAAAACATCGGTTCAGCAGCTTTCGAGCCTGAATGAGACTCTGGAAGGTTGCCAGGAATCTTGACCTGCAATGCTTTTCAACATCATGTTGCATCTTATCCACAGTGGTGATGTTGCGTGGATGTGCAAAGACAATCTCAGAACAATCTAAGTATACAATATTGTCTGCTTCACAGTCGCAATTATAATGACATACATGTGCTATGAATTAATGACACCCTGCCTCGGTGTGCCTGCTTTGAGCATCCGAACGCGCCAGGGCCTGGCACCCAACACGCCAATGGGGTTTTGGTTTATATAGTCCCATTGTTTATGAACCAAAAACCCATTGGTTGGCTATTGGTTTACTATATGGCACCAAACAACGGGGTTTATAGTAAGTCCCATTGTTTACACTTTGCCATTGAAAATCATCGGTAAATCATCGATTTTCACCCATGGCTTTCGCCAAGGTTGTACCCCAGGGTTCCATAAAAAGGCTGAGCAGCGGGGAGGTTTCTCCACGCAGACTTTGGCGGAGCGCTGTCCTGTGAGAAGCAGTGCTTGGATTATTAAGCGATAGAAAACAAACCATATTTATGGAAAACTCATATAAAACCTATAAACACAAAAACCACCTATCAATGATTCTGGACTCCAAAATGCACATGTCCAATAGGAAAGTCAGCTTTCTACTTCATATATCTTCATATTAGATATGGTAGAAAAATCTTAAGCTGAAACCTAGAGCATTGGGGCGGGGACCCTAAAACATAGCCTTTTCTCTAATACTTGTTTTGTATGCTTGAGCAGAATACTGCAAACATATTCTGACTCCATGTTTTTCATTCAAATGGTTTCACATAGCCTTCAGATTCGTCTTCAATAATTCACCATCTTTCGTGCGTAAACACTACACATATCATCAAATATGTATAAATAGCAGTTGACCTTCAAGAGCCAACAACTTCCATGACCAGAACACCATAGCCGCATCTCCTCTTCACTTCGCTGATGTTTCTTCACCGCCTCCTCCATCATGTCGCAGCGCGCATGTCCAGCGAGCGTACGCACCTTGGGCCTTGGGCAGAGGCATTCAATCGAAAATGCAACGAGTTGCGAATTGGGAGATTTGGGATGGTATGGATGTAGAATGATAAAGATATACACTGTAAACATAGAGATGTAGATGTAGATGTAGATATATAGATGTATACCTGGAACCCAAAGCATCCCTTTTTACGAGGTTTGAGACCTAGTATGGTGGTGCGTCCAAAAATGGTGGCCCCCCATGACTGGTCCAGTGGCTTCCGCCGGAGCCCTTGGGATCCCTGACGGTGAAGCTGATTTGACTTCCGCAACGGCCTTGGAAACATGAAGTCAAACGAGTGCAACAAAAATTCCCAAACTCATATGGAATCTGATGTCATCTTTGGGGCATGGCCAATTTCCAGGTTCTAAACTCACCTGAAAGATGCAAAACACCAAACTCTGATCTGAAACAGTTCATATCTCGAGGCCCGCACCCGTGGTGGAGATTCTGCTGACTTCAACCTCTGCGAAAATTATGGGAGTTCTATGGAGTTCTGTCATTTTGGTGAGAAGAATCCGCAAATATATCGGCCACCATTTCATGCGTCTGTATCTTCAAAAAAACAAAAGGTAAAAAACATGTTCAACAGATCCGGCTCTTTGCCATTGATTTGCCGCCTGTGGGTCCCATCCGCAGTGCCAAGGCTCGACTTGGAGTTGACCACCTGGTCGTTGAACGCCCGGTTGCCCGCCCCGGTTCACAGTTTTGCGAACTGGACAATCATCATGAATCATGTATATATATATATATTAGATTATATATATATATTATATACATAATTATATATAATTATATATATATAATAATTATATATATATATATAATAATTATATATATATAATAATTATATATATATAATAATTATATATATATAATAATTATATATATATAATAATTATATATATATTATAGTTATATATAATAGTTATATATGATATATATATATATATTATAGCTATATATGATATATTATATTATATTATATTATATTATCATATGTATATATTATAATGATTACATAATTATTAAAGTATAGTTCAACTCAGCAAATCATCGAAGCCAGTGGGCCATGTCATTGATGTTAGCAGCCTGGTGAAATTACCGCAGGGTCGACGGTGAGCTAAAGGCAATGGGAAAACCATCAGCTGTAATGTCAACCCCGGATGAGACTAAACCATGGTTAATAGTGGTTAATAGTGGTTAATAGTGGTTAATAAACCATAGATCCATGGTTTATGAAAATTAGGGGGGTACTCCTCCAATAGTCATTTCATCTAATACTTAAATGGTACCCTCCCAATTAAACAGCATAGGGGTTTATTAATCCAGGGTTGACATTACAACTGGTTCTTTCTGGACATCTGCTAGACTCCTAGACTCTCGCGCTCAACTTTTTTGCAGGATGACGTTCAATGTTCTCACAGCACTGTTTCACAGTCTCTGGAGCCAAGATCTTAATAGTATATCTGATCTTAGATATATGGCAGTGTGTCAAAACCTTGTACCCCTGGTGAACATCAAAATAGCTGGTAAATAGATGTTCATTCCCCTAAAAATGGTATTAATACGTATTGATCCATACCCATATACCTCCATTCCTGTTGGAAATGCGAAAACAATCCAGTTTTAGCAGGTGCCTCATCCTCCACTTGAAGCTCTACAACCTCTGAGGCTTGCGGCCTGGTCAAATCAGCTAGTCAAAAACCCTCGTTTTTCGGCATGGTAAACGTTCACGATACTGTACATGCTTTGGAATCATGGTGGGATATTCTGGGATAGATAACATATGATTCATATATATATTCATGCATGATATATATATATATACTGTAGGTATAATATATATATAGAAAAGTTTTAAATGGGGTGCATCATTTTGGGCCATAGCCGGCGTCTTTTTGCATAGTCACTGACCACGCCTCGGCTGGATTGACACATGTTTCACCTCCACTTCCTCTTCCGAGGTCTCTGAGGAAGCCTTGGTACATCCATGACATTCCATGACCGAACTACATCCGAGCTGCAAACTGCACCGATTCTTGCTCCAGATTCATCTTCCACAGTCTACATTGTCTACATCTTTCCTTTCCCCAGCTATAATTATTAGATATTATTAGCCACCCCAACTTGTGAAGGTGCAAGGTCCCCAAAAAGGTATTAAGTTCCAATCTGTGCTTCCGCGGGGCTCAAAATTTTGCCCCAACTCCACCCTCCACCCTCCGCCCCAATTTTCTCCTGGCAGCGGACATCAGTGTCCAGGCGCCAGCGCCGATTTTTTTTTTGGCATGTAGCCAGTGCTGGTCGAGTTCAAGGGTGACCAACAGGACTTTCACTTTAACATCCTTCAACAACTTGAATCTCCGCAGTTCTTCTTTTTCAATTCTTCCAAACCTTCCAAAACGTCCTGAACCCTTGCTGACGCGATCTGGGTGTCAAACACTGAGTGGCATGACTAAATGGGCTTGTCTGAAAACTGGGTAACCCCCAGTTCCAATGATTATCATAATTTCCCAGTCAAAATCACCACAAAATTGCGGTCAAAATCACCATAAATTGGGGGTATCCCCCATTTCAGGCACATCCACATTGCCTGCCCTCAGCGTAGAAACACGTTGTGTTTCTTTTCGAAGGCGATGCTCGTCTCGGGTCCGTGCCCAGAGATCACACGGATATCGCCATCGAGGGTCAAGAGCTTTGTCTTGATGCTGCCAATGATCATATTTGAATCCTGGGTGAAGGGAAAAAAATATGGGAAACGGGGTGTGGGGGAATTTTTACGAACAAAAATGGGGTGTCAATTATTTTGGACAGTGATGACATCGTGGCCGCTTAAGATTGTTTAGGTGTGTCTGAAAATGCTGGACACTCCCAATTTGCCTGGCCATGATGAACGGTGGGATTGGGGGTGTGTCCTATTTTCAAACAAACCCAGAAAGTTAAAGCATGCGGAAGGTATGGAAGGTCAGATTCCAGTTCTGTTCTAGACCATTTGCAACCCATCTTATCCATCTTCTGGCACATTGAAAATGACCGAAGATGACACAGACATCAGACGTGTTTTAAACATGTTTAAACCTCCACCAATGGCAAGCATCCGAAGTTCCTCGCAGCGAAGGAATTGCATCCCAGTTTGTCCTGCCCACGGAGCCTTGGAACAAGGTGTCCCCAGGACAGACCACCTTGTGTTGCTCAAAGAAGTAGGACAGGGAGCCCGGGGTGTGTCCAGGGCAATGAAGGCATTTCACCGTCAAATCAGGGCCCCATTGCACCACATCCCCATCTGCCAAGAAGTCATCTGGAGGCGCCAAAGCTTCCATCGGTGGTGGAATCCGAAAGTCTCTGCATTGCTCGTTCACCTTCAGAGTTTTCTGGGGAGCTCATTGGGATTCTAGTCAAATCTATTCAGCCTGTCGGGCGTTAAAAAGGAAAAAAACCGACTATATATATATTATAATTATATAATTATATATGTGAAATGCGAAAAATGAACAAAACAGACTGTGAAAAAAAATATAATATATATATATATGTGTGTGTGTGTTTGTTATATGGCTATGAGTCAAAACCCTGGTACCCTAGCTACCCTGTAATAGCTGGTTTAATGGCTGTTTATTCCCCCAGTCTGACTGGGTAATTTCATCGGTAGGTTGCTGTCCATTATCCCATAAAATATCCACAGAAACATATCTTTACCATTCTTTGCCCCCAAATAATGTTTGTATTGGTGAGAAAAATCCATTATCCCGAAGAGTCCCACGTGCTTCTTCACCCCATTAATGAAATTCCATTAAATCATATTAAATCATTCTATTCCAATCTATTCCATTCATTTTACCCCTCTTAAATACCTGTTGGAATTCCCCTGCTAACATGGACTCCTGCATTCTTTAGACAAAAAACGGCGGTCCACCTTGCACTACTGAAATGGCACATCTAAAGAATGCCAACCCAGGGATATCCAGGGATCAAGGGGGTCTAAGACCATCTAAAAAATCATGGCCCAGGCAACCAACTACAAAAAGATACAAAAAATACAAATACAAAAGCAGAACTCTAAAAAATAGGGAGTCCATGTTAGCCATGTGGATGTCAACCACTATAAAATTGTCCTTGTTAGGAAATGCATGAAAGTTGTTGTCATGGTTGCAACCTGCTTGATTCATCTGTGATGCAAACAGTGGCCGGCGCAGAACAGCAGTTTTAGCACATTGCAAAAATTCAATCAGCTTGTCTATTCCCTCTCAAAATGCCCTCTCTAAAAAATCCTGACCCAGGAAGCCTTTGCAAAAAATGGGGAGTCCGGGTTCGCCATGTGGATTGCAACCACTTTTTAGCAAAAAAAAACGTTTTTTGCGACAACCCGGGTTGTCCCATTCTTTAGTGGAAATTCCAAGGGGGATCCTCTTAACTTCTTTTTTCAACACCTTTCACCTCCAACGACCCCCCGAGGGCGCCTTCTGATACAACGACAAGTCCTCCTGGTTCATGAGGATCACTGCGCCCGTGAGTTTCTTCAGTTCCGTGGCGCCGATGATATGATCCAAGTGCCCGTGCGTGATCAGGATCCGCTTGCAGGACAGGTCCTACCGGGCCATAGCAGGGGCCATGAAGGGAAGAAACACAAATCATATGTTTGTAATGGGACTTTATGGGATGTTTCATGGTGTATATCATGACAGCCTCTTGTAGTTTAACAATGGAAAATGACCCATTGGAGTAGCTGGCTTGCATATTATCTTCATGGTGAGTTCCACTACTGGAACAAACTGTTGAATATGTTAAAGTACCAGAGTTACCAGAGGAAATGCCATGTCTTGATGTGTCAAAATATGTCAAGCGATGTGTCAAACATGGGCTTTCCTAGAATGGGGACTCCAAAATTCAACAGTTCTTCGAGTTTTCTTCATGCGGAAAGGCCATTGGCTTTGGGGTACCCCAATTTTGAGATGTATCCGTGGCGATCATCTACACCCATGTGCCAGGGTCAAAACATGATATATGATGATATATGGGTTATGATTATCCAAGCATTATTTAAGGAATCCTCATAATAGGTAAATACAATGGAATTATAATGGTATATAAATCGTTCACTATTCATAGAGGGATGGCCATGCCATTCAATGGGCAATGTATCAAAGTCTTGACCATTGCACATATGCTGTTTCTTAACTCCCAAGAAAGAAACAACTTGATGAACCTCCAACTAGTAACTAGGCCTTTCAAAGCGACCAATGCTCTCCGGCTTGAGGTGATTTCACCTTTCAAGTGGTCACTTGCCCGCCCCAAATGGTCACTTTGACCTTCCAGAAATACATGAACCGTTTAACAATGCACGAACAAACTATTTTTCTTGCCTAATGCTCCTGGGTTCATGTTCAATCCCAAAGCAGGGATCTGAATCTGAAATGATATGTATAAATTCAGTTATCCCTCAATCCGGCTATTCCTCTGAAGCAACAGGCAACACGACCCAAGAAGTTAAATCTTGAGATTCTACCCATTTCAAGTGTAATTTCCCCAATTTGTTCTTCACAGACTTGAAGTTCCATCTCTCCCCCATGGCTTTCCTCATTCAGGGTCGCTTCCTCCCCAAATACAAGGAACAGGAAAAAGATCCAGAAGTCATGTTCTACAGGTTTTCCCCCCAAAAGTTGCTATTAAACCTATAGATTACGATACTTGGAGCAGCCAGCAGCGTTTTGAATATGTCCACCAGTAATCAAACAGGCTGGAAAAAATCCCATGATGTTCCGATGTTCCCAGCCTTTGAAACCTCCATTGATGGGGGATTTACCAGCCCTCCATGATTGAAAATCCATGATATAATTCCCATGAAAAATCACCATGTTCATGAAGCTTCAATCACCGTTTCTATTTTCGTTCAATCAACATCACCATGTTGCTCAAACAGATTAACATAGATTAACAATGTTTAAGTCAATGTTCAACAGTTCAACATGTTGAAGTTTCACATAGTTTCACCATTTTTGATAGGAAAAAACCTGTTTTTTTTTGGCATAGGCCATCTCCACCCCGGTCATGGCCGGTCATGGGATCTCAGCTTTGCCAGGATCTTCTCCACATCTCCTCCAGGGTCCACCACAATGGCTTCCTTGGACTCGGAGTCTCCTGACAGACAGATGGGCCTCGGGGTCCGAAATGGAAAAATGGCAGCTGTTTGGATGGGAAAGTTATGGAAAGTTTGATGTCTAACATTTTTTTGGGCGAGATATGACGAAATTTCACGGCTTTTTTGTTTTTTTTCCGATGGAAATAGGAAACCATGGAACAAACAGCCGGATATGTTAAGTTTTTTGGGTGTGGTAATCATCGTAAATCATCCTAGGTCATTGTGCATGGGGTTATCGTCCATGGTGGATTTCCATGGTCAGGTTAGCATAAAATGGTGGGATGGCAGTTATAGCGGGGAAAAACCACAGTAGCCAGAATCAACCATATCATATCATCCTGTTCTACATGGGAGAACTTCAGTTGCAGGACTGATCATCACCACTATGGTTTTCAAACATGTGCCAAGTGTGTGATAATCATCCAATTATAGAACATTTTTGCCGGACGGAGCACAATGGATTTCTTGTTTCACAAGGCAGTTTTGAGTGTAGGAATGCAAAACCCCCAAAAGACCACACAAGGGGTCCAGGTTAGATTCAGGGGTGCAATTTGCTAAAACCAATAACCAACAATCCTCAACATGTCTATAAATGGGTAAATGGATGTAAATGGTTTATGGCATTGGGTTTACTGTGCCACATTACTTTACCTCAGGTTGCCCGTCCTACAATGGTGCAGTTGCACCCCAAGGGTGGCACCGCCATCACGTCGATGATGGGCGCCATGGCTGAAGCGCACGGCTTTCCACGGCCCCGGTGCCAAGCTGGGTTCGAGCAAGAAAGGATACGGGTGTCCCAGTTCCAACACTGCTTGCTGTCCAGTCTGGTCGTGGGAAAATAATCCGTATTCAATGTTAATCATGTATATATATATATCATTCTTATATGATGTTCCATAAAATTCTTGTTGAACCATACTAAACACATATATTCTGAATGTTCCATGATCTTCAATGTTCATATTTGTTTTCTTTGGAGGGCAAGCGGAGTTGCTATCTATCCATGGTATTGGAGTGAAGTACCACCCCAAAGTGGATCGCTTGATAATGTTTGATACATATTCACAATGGCGAAACATTGATATCATTGACAATTGTTGTCCCCTGCTCAATCCTATTCAAATGTTTAGTGATTTTCAAGATCACCAGACAGTTGGTTGGGCAGAGACTTCAAAGTTAGAAGGCGCTGCATGTCTCGATGCCTTTTGAATCAGCAGCTCCTAAACCAAGTGGCTCACGACCCCGGTCACACAGCCAAGTAGTTGGGGCATAAATTCACTTCCAAATGATCCAAATGGTACTTGGCCGGCTGGCCCGGCTGGCACCATCTGATCCATCTCTTGACTTTTGATCACGTTCACAATCTTCTGAGCACCACGACTGAATTCACTTCGACTTCTTCAGCGACTTTTTCCTGAAGTGAAAAAAAAACGGGGGTTGAAATATTTTGAAGTTTTGGCTCAAAGTTTAAGTCAATCACATCAAACTCCTAGATTTAGCTGAGATTTGGCAGAAACCATCCACTTTGTCACCAGATTTTGCTAGTTGAAACCCGATCTGTTGTTGGTTCATTCCTCATTTCCGCAGACTTTCTGTGGATTCACTTCCCTTTTTGTGGGGAAGTTTTGAAATGGGAAGACCGAAGACCCCAAAAAGCGTTGGTTCTCCCTGACAAAGGACTTGATAACTTGGGGTTCCCACTTGCTTGGGACAACCCGGATGGAAGGTGAGTTTTCTGCTACCCCTTCACCCTCTACTTCAGCCAACCTCCAGACGAGCTGGCCCTTTCGTCTCTAGCTTTGGGACTACACCTCGGGCCAGGCGTTCTGACACTGTGGGATTTCTAAATCTTGTGGGAATTGTTGGAAGAAGTAAGTCTGAGCCATATCCAATCAGTACTTTTTTATCATTCTGAACCACTATTATCCCATATGATCCCCATCAATCACCATGTTAACCACCCTTAAACCATAGTGAGAAACTGGTGTTTCTGAATGGAATCACCCCCGACTCTGGGCCGCTCACGGCTTGAAGCCTTTGAAGCTGGAAATATCATTCCCAGGCCACCCTGGTCTGTGACAGGGCAAAGTGGTTAGTATTCCTAGTGTCTACCATAAAATTGGGCACTCTAACCTTGGAAATACGATCTAGTGGTAGATTTATGTCGTGTTTTTTTACCTTTGACGGCTAGTTTTCCATTGCCAGGATTGTTTGTTGCATTAGGACATCGAAAACCTGTTGATGCCAATTGTCTGCATGTTTTGCTTCATCGGACAAAATCTATGTAGACGTGAATCCCAAGTCTGCTTCATCATCCTCATGGGGTTTCGTCTGCCATTGGAGCCTCTGGTAACTAGACTGAGCAGGAACATTCCACATCAAGAGAAAAAGAACAGCAGCATGTCCATATTTGATTTTTTTCCCATGCGAGCCAAGTCAAGTTACCAGTGGGTTAGACATGGCTAATCATTTGTTGGTTGGTTGCTACTTCCCATGGTTCACCCTTATCAACCATTTATTATCCATTATTATCCTATAAATCACCATGAATTGCTATTATTACTGTTATTGATCAGTATTATTCACATAAAACATCATATACAATCATTAAAAACCATGAATTATTATATCATGAACCATTGATTGTGAACCATTACCAATCAGTATTATTCAAAATTAAGTTCACATAAATCATCCATAAATCATCATACATTATATATCAATATCAATATGTATATATAAATATTTATATATATATATATGCATCATATGATATCATGAAGACCATAAATAAGCATCAGTATCCCATCAGTCATCCATAAATCATGTTGATTCACCATTATTGATCATGATTCCCATAAATCACCATGGTTTACCATTATTCACCATTGTTAATCAGTAGTATCATTCATAAATCATCATAGGTCACAAACGTCATTACCCCGGTTTGAAGGCCCCCAGCCTTCCGGGCAGCGCAAGCCGCAGCCACGGCGTTCGCTTTCACAGTCGCGGCAGAACCTACCGAGGTGGTGTCCTCAAAAATTGCTACAGATTGAATGATGGTATTCTATGGTAGATCCTCACTGCAAGTAAGATTTATGGTCTATATATATATATATATATAGTCAATGGGATTCAATGTAGTTATCTGTATATGATGTTTCGAACAAAAATGGTGGTTACAGTTTATCATCGTTTTTCCTATCAAAATTGCATAGACCATTAAAGCCCCAAGGGGGCTGCTTTAAAGGGGGCTGCTTTAAAGGGGGCTGCTTAGTAAAAAAAAATGTTTCCTGGCTGTTAGTCAGCTTAAAACTTGCCAGTTTTCTTGTCTGTTCTTCTTTTTTCTTCCACATCATTTGAAAGGTTAGAGAGCCCATTCTCAATAGAGATAGCCCAGAGATTGTCTTCTAAAGGTTGAGAAGCTTCGAGGGCCTAAAGTTGCGAATCTGGCCCTACTCAGCCTAAAAGTGTTCACCTGCAATTAAACCATAAAAGACAATCAAGGGGGTTATTTTCTTTTAGTTTTGGGTTGTCATTTTTGCAGTATTCTGCGGGATTCTGCAGTATTCTGCAGGATTCTGAAGATAGTGCACAGGATGGCTAATTAAACTAGCCATATCCTAACAGCTGACAAGTTGAAATTGACAGGGTTCCCCTGCCGATTTTTTTCCAGGAGTCCTGCCATTCTTCTCTGAGCTACTGGCACTTGCTACCTATTGTGGTTACATGACCAACTATAAACCACTTTCAAGGCAATTACAAAGACACAGCACAGTAGTAGCTAACATTACCATGGAAAACCAACAGAACCCTGAATCAAAAGTATACTGCCAGAACCTAGTAAGCCCCCATGCCCCCCTTGGTGCTTAAAAGAATAAAATGGATTTAAATAAATGGGCAGTAAATCCCACCCATTTTTGGAGATACACCAATACTGGACAGCCTTGCTCTGGTCGTGCATCCTCGTCCCCAAGGTCCCCAAAGCCTGCCTGGACATGTTTGATGACATGGTCAGGATGAAGACGGTTATTATTACTGTATTGCTATGTGTTAGAATGAATTATTATCAACATCTATTATCATGATTTATTATCATTTGTTATCATTGCCTACTATCATTACTTATTCTAACCATCATTTATTGTTATTGAGTATAAGATGACAATCTTTAAGTATGAACATGGTTCTCGACTATGACAATGAGAATGGCATTATAATGTTTATCATGATGATTAAGGATAGCAATTGTTACAATGATTATCATGATCTATCATGTGCTTGGGAAACTCTAATTAGGGAACCGCTCACCGCTCCCTCTATTCGCCACTCAAGCAGTCATTATCATTGATGCTCGATGGCCATCAAATGGTAGATGATCACCATTATCATGAGCCAATCATTAGCATCATTTGTATCAGTAAGGATAAGGATAAACCATCACCATAATTGTCATGATCTATCTATTATCTTATTCCCATTCTGAGAATCATCGCCAGAATTGTGATAGATCATAATAATCAAACTATGATAATCTATGATTATCCATTAAATCTGTTACTATCATATACAAGTATGACAATTGTCTATCATAATCACGGCTTCATAGCCACCCAGACATTTTCAAATGAAGCCTCCACTGGCCTCGGCCCACACAGCATCCACTTCCGCGGCGTTCGTACTCGTCTCAGCCGTGGACTCTTCGGCCCACTCGGCCTCAGTCTTCCAAAAAGGTCCCATGGAAGAATTGACAATAAGAATCTAAGTATTCTATTACAATTATGGGGTTATGGGATTATCTAAGTTATCTATGGGCAAAAAGGTCCCATGGATTATCTATGGGATTGTGGGGTTATGGGATTATCAATGGATTATCTACGTAGTATTACAATTCTGATACATCATGATACATCTATGATGTCTATTTTTTTTGGCATTTCTAAGAAACACGGAGGAAATCTATGAGAAAAATATATCGAAATCAGGGGATTTGATTAAGCCATGTGGCTTCCATGGGGTTCCGAAGGACCTGGGGTCCCTTATAAATAAGGGGGGTAATTTACTGGGAAAGGACTAGGATGACGGCCATAGTACAGTATCCCTGAAAATATCATGATTATGGGTCCAACCCTATATTTTTAAGGCTAAAAAACACCGAGTTTGGTTGGTTCATTCTGATGGGATTGATGGGGAAAGCATCATGTTTGATCACTGATCCCTATCTCATCACCGCATCCAGGTCACTGCTTCACTGATGGCCGTTAATGAGCCTTGCACCTGGACGGAGCTGAATTCACTGGTTCAGTGTTCCTGACACAAAACATGCACTGAGCTTTTAAAGCTTTATCAACTCCGCCAAAAAACTTAATTTGAGATATAAAGTGATACAGTCAGAGTAAAGACACTAAATGGGGTGTACAATGGGTGTACCCACACGATTCTTCAGCATGGATCAAAGTGATGACCAAACGGAATCAGAGTCTGTGAAATGGGTTTGTCTGAAAACAGGATACCCCATTCCATCCACTGATGAATCCTCCTTTCCTGTAGTTTTCCATATATATATATATATGTATGTATGTATGTATGTCTGTCTGTCTGTCTGTCTGTCTGTCTGTCTGTCTGTCTGTCTGTCTGTCTGTGTGTGTCTGTGTGTGTGTATGTGTGTGTCCACTAGTAAAATGATCATTGCGGCTTCACCCCGCATTTTTAAGGCCCAAATTCATCGCTGGAGATCTTCCCATCCGCACCTTTTGCTTTGGCCCCTTCGGCGTGGCTTTGGGTGCCACCGGGGCAGGCCTTGACCAGTTGAGAAACCCCAGCAAAAAAATGTAGACTAAACCATATATCAATATATCTATCATTGTGTCTCGGATTATATATATATAATATATATATATAATGTTTGTATATAATTGTATAATTATAGTATATTATAGTGGTGTGTGGATATATAATGATATATAATGGTATCCATGTGTATGTATGCATATATATATATTATACATACTAGATCATACTAGTACATATGTATCCGAAAATTGACTAGAAATTCTAGATGTTGACATTGACGTTGACCCAACGAGGTGCCTCAAGATCTGGTTGCGAACGGCAGCCAGACCGGCTCGGCCATGGGCGAGTTCAACCATGGGATATGCAGAAAATGGTGGATTTACAGCCACTGCGTGGCAATTTGAGGCAATTTTCATAGTGATGAATCAGTGGATTTAAGGAGTACCATATTTTCTGATGCCATCCATCTGTTGCGAATGTGCACTAGTGGAGTGTTCATGGGACTTGCAGCAGGAAGCTTCCTCACACAGCAAAAGCTTGAGCCTGTCGGATGAGAATCAGTGATGATACAAATTCACAAAGACATGAGCCAAGCAACGGGGAGACTGACTTAATGATCTGCATGGACCCGGCGCACAGGTTGTTTTAGAAAGATCTGCAGGTGGGATTTGGTTCAAATTTAATTATTCTCCACCACTCAGCTTCTAATATGTTCAATTTATTTCAATTGGATACATCTGGGCACCCTTTAAGTGCCCACTCGGCATTAGATCGGCAAGGTCGCTGCCAGGGGTGGTTTTGCAAGCAGAAAAAACAAGCACAACATCAATTTGGATGCTTGGATGAGGGCCAAGTACGGCATCGAACAAAGCAAAAACATAGTATGATATACTATGACTATCTCCAGGACTTATGCACAAACCCCAGCAGCTTCCACTGCCATGGCAGTAGCATTGGCACGAACCGTAGCTGTTCATCGCATGGTCCGGGAGGCGTACATGTATGGAGCCTGCGGCATCTGCACCTGGAATTTGGACCTCAGCCCATCATTGGTGGCGTCTCAATGGCTTGTCCGAAATATGTGTCTACACATATAACGATATTATATATATATATATACATATATATATATACATATTGTATATATATATATATGTATCAGAATATATCATCTATATATCATTTATATATCATTTATACATGTCATCATTGACCACATGCCCTTTTTGATACATCTACATATTACCTGGACTATACATGTGTCGTCCATCGCCATCCCCATCTCCAAGGCTTCAGCGATGCCACCTGGCAGGGAGCCTCGGCGCAGGCTGATCCCATGGCTCTTGGAATCCGTCCTTGGCATCCTTCACTCATGGGGGTTTCATATATATATATATACATACATATATATATACATACATATATATACATACATGTATATATATATATACATATATATATATACATATGTATATATATATATATATATATGTGTGTGTGTGTGTGTGTCCTCCAAGTTACAATTTTAATAGGGAAAATGAGAATAACCCATTGGAATCAGTGGTACCACATTTTCAAACAAAGCCATATGATGGGGATATGATGGGGGTATGATGGGGATGTGATGGAAAATGTGGGTATAAATATGGGAAATATATGGCTATCATAATGGGCGGTTCCGAAGTCATGGGGGTACCCCAAATGATCCAGTCGTCATGGATGACCATGACGTAGTAGTGGAACAACCATGGTGTTGGGGTAACCCGATTTTAATTTTAGGAAACTATCATCTATCCATTTCAATGGATTTTAATTGTTGGGTAAACCCATGATATGGATAGATGGTAAGCCAAATGTCCCATTTCTGTCCATATCATCTATCCATTTCTCTCCATCGAAGCTGACATTTTGGATCCAAGTGATCCAAGTCATCTTTGTCTCAACTGGCAGGGAAGGGAAGCTGAAGCACTAGCAAACTTGTCTGGTTTTAAACTCCCTTCAGAAATGTAAAGGAAATCAATTCAGGATCACAATCTATAAATACATATTATGTACATATATATATATAATCATATATACTGTATATATATAAATATATATAATATGGGAAATTGAAAACACCACAATACAGGTTGAATTCACCAACCAATTCTGAGTCCATCTTCAGCTGGTTGGGCCCCCTGGAGGCTCTGGCCGGTGCGGCAGCCATTCGTCGCATCTGGTCCACTGAATACAAGGATGATTGAAGCCTCAGTCGACAAAAAAAACCATATGAACATATACCATCCATCGATCATTGATATGGCTATGGTTGTATGATATTATGATGGTTATTTCTAAAAAATGTATATAACATATATCATTAATGTGCTCTGGCTGAATTATCATCATTCGCCAACCTGAAATAAATAAAATGAATAAAGCCATTTTGGGACAGTTGCCCTTCCCAGTAACGTCGCAGTGACCTCCTTGAGATTTACTTTTAAAAAAACAGGACTGTACATGTAAGTACTTACGCTTTATTTGCATGTTGGGAAATCTAGGTACCCTCTTGTAAAAAAACATAGCTATTGAAAATGGCCATTTATAGTGGATTTACCCATTAAAAATAGTGATTTTCCATAGCTATGTAAACGTTTACCAGAGGGTAAATTAAATGTGGTGCATATGGTGTATGTTCCCCCTGTTCACCTCCGAGGATTTGGGAGTGGGAACCTGTGATGGCGCTCTTTAATTGTGGTGTCTGAAAAATTGCTACCCGGCAACACGATGATTTATATTGATTTATCATAGTTTTCCCCATTAAACTATTACAGAAAAATTTGATGTAATTTGGAGATATACATAGATATACAGCATTTTCAGACAAACCCTCAAAAAGCTTGGCAGATCATGCCATGGACATCATCAACACCGGGGCCAGGACTTACTTTGGGTCGTACCCGACTCTTTCCGCAGGTTGCCAAAGTCGCTCACCAGGCCTGTCATCGAACAATGTTTGGTATATCTTGATGGACAATTGCTGCTTATATATATATATATTCATACATTTCTCTATCTATGGATTACTAAATTGTTCTGATACATAAATATATATACATATACATATACTATATACATAAGAATACATGTAATTAATAATATATATATATATACACATGATTATACCATTGCTACTTGTTCTATGTATATCCATCCCCATCAATGGTGACCTGGCCTTGCAGTGACTCCCCAACGTTCACCACATCTTGGACCATCTTCTGCAGTTGGACCTTCCGTTTCTCCAGTTGCGTCCTCAGCTCCTGAAGAACCGCCCGGTTTTCGCACGGAAAACACCCGAATCTACCGCGAAGTGCTGGAAGCAAACGAAGTTAGATAAAGTTACCATAAGTTATCAACAATTCCAAGCAGTTGAAGCACTTCAAGCACCTGATTTTGCATGATGTCTTTTGATCATTGAAACACCAACAAGAGCCAACACTACCAGAACACCTGCGCCAACTGATCCGTTTCGCTTCGCAGCTGCTCGGAACGGTCAGCAACCTGTGAGGGAAAAATGAAAAAACTAATTGCAGTTGTCTCTTTTAAGCCATGAAAAATGGCTATTCACCTGTAAACATGGGGATGTTAACCATCAACAATGGGGATATTAGCTGTCAACAATCGGAATATTGAGCCATGTCTATTTACACAACATTATATATATATATATATATCATATAATTAACTATATAACACGTATATTCATATATATATATTATATATGTGTGTGTGCAAAATCTGGGTAATTATCCATGATTATCCATGTTTGAACAATGTTGGCGAGCTGTTTGCACTTTCAGTGGAAATTGCATTTCTGTCGAAGATCATCTGTTCGCAGAGCTGCATCTCCGTCGGCACTAACTTTTTATGCAACTATACATAGTAAGTGGTCAATAGCCCTAGTTAGTAAGTCCCCATTTAGTAAGTTGTCCATATTTATCCCATCTATAAATGGATGAACTAACTATGGTTATCAACCATTTGCGATTGGTGGGATGATCCATGAAGTACATTCATGGTTGTTGGTGGTTACATTCTGTTGCCCCAATCGCATCCACCTATTGCACGAATCCATGCCGTAAAATGGTTTCAAGATGTCAAAAGCCATCAAACCCGCCCCATTTTTGCCGGGTTTGGCCCAAATTTCTAATTCATCCTACCCTCTGGTAAACTAACATAACTATGGAAAATCACCATTTTTAATGGGAAAACTCACTATTAATGGCCATTTTCAATAGCTATTATGCTATGGTTCAAAATTGAGCACTTTTTCTATCTTTTTCTTCCACTCCACTCCCACCTGAGTCTGCAGGGCTTCCGTCTGCTGGTTCAGGGATGCCATGTCCTCCCGCATCCGCTCGCTGGATTGTTGCATCTCCTAGTGACGAGCTGAGCATCATGGCTTCAATGGTGAGTTTAACTCAATGGCACATTAAATGATTACAGTAATGATTACTGTAGTGGTTGTAGTATATTGTAGTATTTGTAGTGGCAAATGATTACAATGACTCTAGTATGACTAGAAAGTATAGTGCAGTAAATGATAATTTGACTCTAGTACAGTGCAGTGAATGATAATTGAATATTTCATTGGAATTGGAACCCATGATTGTGTATAGTAGCAAATCATTTTGGCTGGCTTCATGGACCATGTTTGACTGAGCTTGCGCCACTTTGCCTGGAAAGTGAACAGAGTCTGTTTGCTCAATGCGCGGAGTTGAAAATAGCAGGTGCAATGGTCATCTAAAACATTCTTCAAGTGTCTTAATGTCGCAAGATCTTCTGTCTGAGAAGCTATAAATGATTAAAATGATCAAAATTCAACATCAGTCAGTTGTAAATGATCAAAATCCAACAACATATATAATATAATCCACTTGTTGATGTTCTGTGTCGCACCATTCTGTCTGATGTTAAGGAATGGTGCGATACCATCCCAGTGCACCGACAAGTGGATTCAACTGATTTCAGCTGCAGCAACGACACCACCGCGTTGAACCCAGCCTTCCCAGCGTTTTCGCAGAGAAAACTTCGGCCAGAATCCAATGGCATCGATGTCGCGCCGTGAGGTCGATATGTTATATATTATATATATTATATATAATTTACATTAATTTACCCAGATATATCTTATATAATCTTATATAATCTGATATAGATATATCCAATCAATTCCAATTATGTTCCACTTGATTCACGTGATATCCCCATTGTTGGTGACCCCAAAGCAGGACATGATGATCGATCCCGAGGATGTTCCAGTCCTGGGCAGCTGCACGTAACTTTGACTGTGACTGATCTGCTGCCTTCATACGGCGTGCATCATTGGGTTGGGTTGAGAAGTAGGTCAAGCACACATGAATCTAAACCAGTTTGTGGATTATCATATTATCCAAAACATAAACAAATCCACAACTTGGTTTATATGGGTCTTGATAATAAAAAGAAACGACGTATCCTGGCTGAAGCCAAGCTGGATTATCCTAAAAACTGATGCAACGTCAACGTACCCGTTCAATCCAGTTCATACCAATGACTGATAATGACTCATATGATCTCATATATGATATAGTCTGTTCCCCCATGTTTTCGGGCCAAACCCCATTACGACCAAGGTACAACCAATTTTAGGTCAATGAAAAATCCGGACTCTACCTGACCAAACTTGGTTGTATGGCAATCAGCTTCCTAGCATCAACACAAAACTTTGTGGTACCTCTACATCCTCTAAGCATAGCTACAAAATAAACTATTGACACTACGTCTTACGAGTACCTGGTACGATTCACCAAGGGTTACCAAGCCTGTCACATAGGGAAATTCCAAATCCAGAAAAGGACACTGTCAACTCACCATCATGGCGGGAACCTTTTACTGTAATTACTGATCCAGGGATTTTACCCAAGTCTGAGGTTCGTTGCTATTGACCCATAATTACCCCACCAATTCTCATAGATTAGATAAGCGGGAAAGGAATGGAGAAGATACATTTTTTGGCTGGCTAGAAGATTGACCTTGCCAAACAATTCCCCGTAATTTGGTGGTCTCAACTCTCCCATCCCAAAATCTTTGTTGGGTGCATCATCATCCCGGATTGAACATGGCTGCGTCCAGAAAATTGGAACCGAAATCTAAGATTCCTTAGCTACCCAGCAAAGAAAACTACATTTTAGTGGAACTTCTATGGGCAAACCTGCTAGGTTGACATTATATATATATATTATATATATATATAATGTACTTATATACCATTCAACTTTTGCATGGCAAAAGCAACATAAATAAAAATAAAGTGACATTGTGTATCATTGTAACTACTTCTTGACATTATATATCACCATAAACACCTGTTTTTTTGAAAAAAATACAACTATTTTCAAACAAATTTTAGTCTCGAGCCCCATGATTTTATTTTGGAGCATCCAATCCGGATAATACAGTGTCTGGCTCCTTGCCCAACTGGGCTTCCCCGACATCCGCCAGCTGAGCAAAGGCCGTCTCATTTCGCACAGCCTCCACCGCTCGGCACGGTAAACTCGTCCCGGACCGTTTGGGTCGGTTGGGATGGGAACGGTCTCGACCAAGAGCTGTATGGGCATGGGTCAAAATTGGATACCATAATCTCTGGACTAATTAGTACATATTGATACTAAACATAGACTAAAATCTCTGGTCCCCTGCAAAGAATTCCAAGGGTTCAAAACCACCAATCTCTCTGTTGAATCATTGGTTGGCTTTTTCCAAAATAAGCAAGTTTCATGGGGTTGGGCGAGTCCTAAACGTCAGAATCCATTGCAGATTTCCACAAGACTAGGAGTTCCCACCTTGGTACATCTTATTGGGAACTCAAGACACCAGTAATACTGGGCGGACACGAAACCCTGTACACTGTTTATTACTCTCCGAAATGATTGACCAAACATGCGGGCTGGTACAGTGAAACCACTGTTTAAGAACCCACGGCATTAAAAACTTCAGGGGCTGGATTGCTGGACTCACTCCTACCTGCTGGCCACTTGAAACAAGGACCCGGAGGTATCCCATCCTACGTTGAATATATAACTAAGTTTTATTCCTTCACTTCCAGCACTTCTCAACCCGCCAGCCTGTTCATTCAAGGTTTGAATTTTCATCTTCAGGTCCTTCTCAAGGTATGAAGACCATCTGTGGTGAGAGACTGTAAGTCGCTGTCCACAGCTACAATCCCACTTAGCATCTTCGTCCTTGGAATGTCTCAAAACCACCAGGTTGATTCAAGTTGATTCAAGTTGATTCAAGCTAAACTGATGTAAACTGTGGATATAGTAGACTTGGTACATCTTGGTACCTTGAAGATCCTTGATCCGTGGCAGCGGCTGGCTCCTGATCTGCGGCAGCATTGTTGCGCACAGCAGCGGTGATTTCCATGAAGACCGAACTCAAGGATTCACGAATCCTGAAACGAGGCTGGTGAAAATGGAGAAAAATCCATCACGCAACGATCTGGCATAACCAAAATCAGTAAGATATATAATATATGATATATGAACAATGATATACTTGTTTGCCAGATTTTAATCACGGAGAAATCAGAAATCCGTTGCTTTGTCCTCATTTCAATAGTAATGAACGAGAAACACCTTTTATTCGTGCGCTCACCCTTGTGCGCTATTGCGCAGAACTCATTTCTTCACATACGTTACCTTAGATTTATCTAAGCCATCTTCAACTTCCACAGGCGTGTTATGCATGACAGGTTTTTTTGAACCACCCTCATATGGGTCATGTTCATCCCTCCATCATTTAGGGTTCCTTATTCAAAACACGAAATCTGCTACCTCTGTCACGGTATCTCTAGAGAATCGACGATTCATTCAGTTTAAGTGCTGCTAATTATAAGTTTTATAATATTTATAATGGGATATAATTGATGTGTATATATATTCATATATATATATGTCATTATATTTCGGGTATATGAACCCCCTATCCAGGGATTGAAGACCATCCCCCAGGAGCGCTTAAAAACTCCCCATGTTTTCCCACATGAAAACTGCTCCGACGAGGTCCCGACTCATTGATCTCTGACTGCATGTGTTGCTGGATCGCCTCACAACAAAGGGGGGCGCACGGCTGTGTAGCAGCCCAACAACGACATGTGTCATGGAAGAAGATAACAGAAGATAACCTTTTGTTAAATGTTTTTTGGCATCTGCATATTCATATGATTTCTATCTCTCAAATTTGGGTCAAATACCTATGGTTTGGTGGTTCTGAGTTCTGACTCTCAAATTTGGATCAAATTCAGAAGATGTCAGTCTTTCTTGGCTTCGCTCCCACGAGAGTCAGACTGCTCCCTGTCGCTTGAAGTCGGCAAGATCGCTGTGGTTGCCGTTGATGGCATTTTTGATGGTGTTCAGCTCAATCTGCCGATGTCATCGCGGATCAACAGTGGCAACAACATCCCCCATGGGATTTCATGGGTCACTTTTTTCCACCTGGATGACCTATGTAAGCTATGTGTGAAACAAGGAGCACAACACTCAAAAAATCAGGTGTTGTTGAAGTTGCTGACCCGAAAAATCACAAGCTCTGAAACCAGGTATGGGGTTCCGCCGAAAAATGAAAAAAAATATTGATTTGTATATTGCCTGTCGGTGTCATTGTGTCTTAAGTTGTATGGTTCTTCCATCCTTTCCGGTGACTGGGTTCAAGGAAAACAAACACAGACAGGAACCGCCCATCGTTTATTTCATCATTTCCTTTTTCAAGACAAACAACTTCCACCAATCATTAAATCATCCCGTCCGCTTTTCTCATCCGGGCCTGCAGCGACTTCTGGGAATTGGAGCTTTTGTTTTTCAGTTCCATCACCTCAGCTGATCGGGCACAAACTCGGACAACGTGGAAGATATCAACAATTTATAGCCTCGAAAAGGTCCCCAGTCCCCAGCTTTTGGTTCTGAAATAAATATGTATTTCTTGGTGAAAAGATATGCACATATCACAACAGTTTAAGTTCAGTCGTTTGAAGTGTGAGTCAACAAGTTTGTTTTCCCACGGATCAGTTCCCTCTTTAGGATAAAGAAAATGGACATCTTCAAATAGCGAAGTTACAAAGAAATACGGTAAAGTTGAATCTTTTGTGAAAACATGTGTTTTATTAATTACTGTAAGTGAGAAATCATGCGTTCTGGGTGGGCAACAAATTTTAGTGGGAGTTCAAACATTCCATCCAAATCGCAAGATCTGTTTTTTTTCTTATTCCCAAGAAACGAAACTTACATCTTACGGTGGAATTGGCAGGCTCACTTTTTGGCAAAGCGGAGTCTTCCGAAGCCTTCATGGTTTGTTATCTTCAAATGGTCGGCTGAAATTTAAGCCTTATAGTTCTGTGCATGGTCTTGGGTGTTGCTTTGCAAGGTCTCTCTCCAACTCCAGTTGAAAGGTTGGCCCTAAAAGTGCCAAAGAGATTTCATCAACCTGCCATGGACAAGATACGATGCGAAAAATACTCAAGCTGCAAGCCGTACCAAACAGTCAAGCAGGACAATGCCAAGAGTTGCAGCTTCTCTGGGAGGCGACTTTTTCCGATGCACTGCATGGTCTGGGTTTGTTTTGCGACACCAGCCCATCGTTTGGGCGTGTTTGGGCATGGCATCAAAACCCAAGAGATCAAACATGCTGAAACATGATAGAAAGAACGTATTGTGGATTCATTGTGGATTCTCAAGATACAGCAGCTGGGCAAGAACCAGACCTCATGAAAACTGTACCAAGGTGCTGCGGACTATGTAACTCAAGATGCATTTGGGTTCCGTGATGTATGGCACTTAGATTTGAAATTGTGAGTCAGTAGGGTAAAATTCTGGGGTGATACCCTCTGGTAATTTAACATAGCTATTGAAAATGGCCCATTTATAGTGAGTTTTACCGATTAAAAATGGTGATTTTCCATAGCTATGTTAAATTACCAGAGGGTAGATGAATACGATCGCAGGAGCGACCAAAGTTTCAACATCCCTTGGAAATATAGGTAAATAACAATTTTTAATAGGTAAACCATCTATTTCTATGGGCCATCTATACCATGGCTATGTTAGTCATAACCAGAGTTCAACATCCCTTGGATTCGGCCTGAGGCTCTCGCCCATTGCGCAAAGGCGAGCACAGTGACGTCCACGTCAAGCAACTCAGCGGATGCCGCGTATTGGCCACACCTCAGGCATTGCTTCAGCAGGAACAACGGCACTGTAGGTAGGTCCTGTGCATGGTTGGAACAACAACTAGCACTAGGTCACTAGGTACCATTGACCTACTAGAATTGCAAAAATTTGAAGTTATCCCAATCATTCTCCATAACTATCCAACTATTATCCTTCAAATCAATGATAAATTTATTTACCAGTCGAAAAACCCATCAAAAACAAGCATTATCATATATTGTATATTATATATTTTATATCATATATTATATATTATATATCATATATCATATATCATATATCATATATTAAATATATTATATATTATATATTCACATTATATGTATATATAATATAATATAATATAATATAATATAATATAATATAATATAGTATAATTAATATAGTATAATATAATATTATATGATACCCCTATTGTATCCCCTCGTTCTCCAAGGCACTGCGCTCCTTGAGGCGCTGCCTGCGCCGGCAGCCCGCCACTGGGATGGAGGCCGCCAGGGCCCACCCGTTCCTGGGCTGGGGCCTGCGCGCGGCTGACGTTGGCATTCATGGTTTGTGGATCCCTCCAAACATGAAAACATGAAATGTGTAGAAATATATATATATGTGTGTGTGGCTTATACGTATATCTATAATTATACATATATATATACATATGTGTATGTACATATGTATACGTATATATATATAATATAATTATACACCATATACATGATGAAAAATGTACTAACTCATCCGTCTCTGCAGTATCTGCACATCGAACGAATCTAACTTCAGTCCCTCTGCTCCACTGGTCCTCAGGAGCTTCCGGTGCCGCCGGCACTGGCTGTCTGGACGGCTGCCTCTGAAAGGGGATGACTTTTGGTGGTTGACCCCATGAAAAATAGGATGGTCAGCTGGGATCATCATTCCATTTGTAGGGTTGACATACAGTCGTTTGTGAAACTGTGAAACCACCACCCAAAGGAGACTCTGAAAGAAGAAAACTAACAGTGGCTTATAAAATAACTTACTTCAGCAATGTCTGAAGACTACAGGGAACATACTACAGTATATCGGTCCATCATGTTTCATATTAATTTGGGATCATTTGGGGACGCTTTTCTGGAAACCCCAAAACGGCACGTTGCAAGGTTCAAAACAGAAATCAGGCTTGAAAGTCAACCTGTGGTGCTGTCTGTCATCCGGATTTAACCGTTCAACCCTGGCTGTGGCCATTGTCTCAATAATATTCAATTACCCTCTGGTAAATTAACATAACTATGGAAAATCACCATTTTTAATGGGAAAATCCACTATAAATGGTCATTTTCAATAGCTATGTTAAATTACCAGAGGGTATCAGCCCCGATTCAGTCCAAGATTCTGTGGCGACCGCCGATCTGACCGCTGCCGCCCCTGACAAGGCTTCCATGAATTGGGCCCCAGGAATCCATCCCAAATTGCTCCAGTTTCTTCCATGAAAATCATGCTTAAAACCAAGCAGTTCCGCCGGCACCTGCATCTGGGCGTCTAAAATCGCCCCGAGATGAGGTGGTGGATGGTTGGTCGAAGCTTTGAGCCAAAAAGGTGCGATGTTGATCGATCTTCACGAATGGGCAATGGCATTGATTATATGGATTATTTCATAGAAATTGTGTACTGATTGTGCTATTGTCCATTGAGTATCCTATTCCTAATATATTCATATATATATATATATAGATAGATTCCATATGATTCCATGATTCTTTTGAATGGTTCATTTTTCTCCCCACATCCAGCCAATGAATGTCCATATGGACTCCTACCGAACCTCAGCTCATTTCATCCCCACGGCAGGACATCCAAACCACTTGCTGACCGTTGGGTTAAAAGAAGCCGTGGCTTCCTCGTTTTGAGGCAACAGCAGGGCCTTCCCAACTTCTCATAGTGTGAAACTGTCGCTAAGCTGCACATCGCTGCCGTTTCAACATCTTTTGGGGTGTGTCACCTGCAAACCACGAAAGATTGTCTGTGCTATATTTTAATATATTTTAGACATCAACTGAAAGGGAAGAGCTGCGCCCTAGGCCGAACAGGTATGTCCAAAATCTGGAAATGGTGGATATCAAATGTGTACATACACAATTCAATTATGCACTGGTCTTACTCCAATGGATGTAGTGGACCTCAAATGGTGAATGCGAATGGCAAACAAAATCGTTCCAGCCTCAACGTAGAATCCCACACATGGTATACATGCCGGTCTTCCTGCAATATGCATAGAAAATCGTCCATATTATACCATATGATACTATGTATAGATAATACTGTTCATATCAGAAGTATATAGTTGTATTTGCTTCTCTAAGACTAGTACATACTAATACTATAATATAGATCATATATATATATATCATATATACATGTGTATATATATATATATGTATAGATTATATGCGGCACACCATTCGTCATGCTACAGGCGTTAAAAACTGGGCGAATCTGGTGCACCAAAGGCCTGGTTGCACGGCCGAAAAAATTCGAGAAATGGAGCGAAATATGGATGATGGATGTGATTTTCGAATTTCCGATGATTTTCAGTCATTTTACCAATTTTATATCCATAAATATCCATAAATCAAAGAAATTCCATAGTGGTTGAGTATGGTTGAGTATGGTTGAGGATGGTTGAGGATGGTTGAGTATGGTTGAGTATGGTAGACTCCCCTGAAATTGAAGATGGAACCCACGATGGTACTTTTGGAAGGAATCTTCCTGAAATTGGTGCGCCTGGTTGGAAGCCATGGAGAAATTGGTGCAGTGGAATGTTTCCCCTGATAACATGGAAAATATGTGGCCTGCTCAACAAAAAAGGGGATCTAATCATAATCAGCGAACATTGGGATTCGAACGGCAGAATTCGCTTGTAAATTGGAAGTTACCCCACATGAAATCCATATTAATGGCCAATTTCCATAGTAAAAATATGTAAAACTTATCTTCCAGACTTGTTCTCGGGGTTTCCAGTTTTCAAACAGCAACATTTCATGGGGGCGCCGATTGGCAGTGGAGTGCAGCCATTTCACCCCGTCCCAAGCACATCCAATCCCAAAAAAGGGCACATATTAATACCTAAACACCTCAAGGACAATGAGACAGTAGACTAACTTAAGAAAATTAGGATAAGGGCAAGCCGACAAGCAACATATGGAAACAAGGGTACAATATTCCATCCGCGGGTTCATCATCATTTGCCCGAACAAAAATGACCATACAATGGTATTTTCAGGCACACCAATGGCAATGCCATGGTCAAAACATGTCAAAACATGTCAAAACATCTCAAAACATGCTATATTGGTAATGGTCACCCATCCCATCATAATGGGAATCCAAAAATAATTTGCATATGAATCCCTCTGAAAATGGATTGATGACCATCCCCCCAAGAACTGGTTTCATCAAATCCCAATTTGACCATGACACTATGAAACAATCAACCAGGACTCAAGTAAATTGGATCTCGCTGGTCAATTATATAATACATATATATATATATATACACATAATTATGTATATATTATATTACATATATATATAGTCCATTATATCGCCATTGATTATGGTTATTAACCCCCCATGAGTTGGCATAGAACCCCCAGTTGACCAGGCCTCAGCATCAACTCACCCCAGCGCCTGGTCCTCCATAAACGGCATCTGTGCAAAGAGCTCTTCGAGGGCAGCCTGAGACATGGAGCTGGAGCTGGGAAAATGGTGATTGTTCCCAGCAAATTTGGGATTTGAGGCAAGAAACCTGGGGATTTATGTGTATACATATAAATATATATGTGTGTATGTATGTATGTATATATATATATATATATGTATACATATGTATGTATATATATATATATATATTATGTATATATATATATTAGTATATATATATAGTCATATAGTTGGTGTGAGTGTGTGTGTGTTTATGGTAGATAAGTTGGCTTACAACTAACTATATATATTAATATAGATTAACTAGGGATAAGTGGCACTTCTGGTGATTATAAACCAAACAAAAGAGGTGTGGCACGTGTTAAACCATTTCTAACTAGGGGCACTACTTTGTATGTCATGATATGATATGGTATGCCATCATAGTCCTGAAATGTCCTGAAAATACTGGGTCAACTGGATATCATCCATGTTCAGCAGTTTAAAACCATCAATGGTTGGGATCATCACCCCAGCCTCCTCAGCGACTGTGGCTGGAAAACCAAAGCTTGGCAGCATGAACTGCAAAAGGCCTCAGGGGGAACAGAAGATACCCCTGAAAGATCTGAAACGGCCAAGTCATCCCAGAAAAGTGAACAACTCATCCCACTCCCCCCATCATCAAAGGGCCCCATTGTTTGGGGCCCCATCTTCATGGTTAATTTATATAGATCCGATGCTTGGGGTATGATCTGTTGCAAACATTCCCAACATTTCCCAACTGTATCCAGCAGCAAAAGGCGCCACAGGGTGCCCCAAGAAGACCACATGCTACGCCAACCCCCCGATGCACGACCTGCATTTTGCAAGGACTTCGAGGACGTTCCCGTGGCCGGCCCAGCGTGCCCAGGCAGCTCTGGCGCTGTGTGCAGCTTCATTTGCTTCCCCGAGAGGGAAGGCAGCGACCTGGTGGGACAGGTAGTTTTACCAACAAAAGTTGGAAACTGCTCCTTTAATCAAAATTTGGAGTGTACTCCTCTACCCTGGAAAACGTGGAACAACGCGTTTTCACCTTTTTCATAAGAAAGCCATCTATTGATGGATGTAGATAAATACAGTATATAGATATTGATGATTGTTCTCCATTGCCAGCGTGGATTACTAGAGGGCCAAAGGGTCATCAAAAAATTGGCGGCAGAAACTCTTTGGCTGCCACTTCATTGCCCGCAAGTATTACATCATGCTATTTGCGTCAAATGATGTCAAATGTGTAACTTTTCCATTGCAGCAGAGGGATCCAGAGGGTGCATGTTCACATTTGGCCAAATTTCGCCAACCAGTTGCACTCAGTTGACATGCATCTGTGCATATCTGTGCCATGCTGCTGTTCTGAGCTGATCACGAGTGGCCCGAAAGCGCTGGCTTTTGCGCACGTCTCAAGCCAGACCTGGAGTTGTATCAGAATGTGGTCTCTGGATCTAAGCAAAACGATCGCGAAACTTGGCAGGAAAACCAATCGGATTTGTTGGAGGTGGCTGTTCGGATCAAAATTGGGTAAACAACAAGGATTGTTTCTAAATAAAACACACAGGCGTGTGTCAAAACCAAAATGACAAAAACCATCAAAAACCCATCTTAAAATGACCACTGAATACCAATGACCAAAAATATATTTAAATATATATATATATTAGGGCCCACGGGTTTAAGACTTTTGCAAACACGGACTCCTGAGTATCCAATGAAAGCCCTGAGTCCCTGGCTGGCTGGAGGCATTGTTAGCACGCCTGATCAGATCATGCCGTGAAACTGACCCTAGGTAAATGTCACACTGTAACTGGTTGGTGGTTTCAACCCCTCTGAAAAATATGAGTTCGTCAGTTGGGATTATTATTCCCCAAAATATGGAAGAAAAATAACAGTCATGTTCCAAACCACCAAGCAGGTAATCATTACAAGGACTGAACATGGAATGTGTATCTGATCTCAGGAGGCCCAGATTTTCGACAGCCTGGTGCTGGGCAGTGCTTCACCTTTTCTCTTTGGAGCCTGGCAGCTGCGTTGCGGGGCCGAGTTGGAGGCTACAGAGGGCCTGAAACTGGAGCTTTCTGAAGAATGCAATGCTCACGTTTAGCAATATATGATGTATATATATATAGATATAATATATATATAGATATAGATATAGATATAATATACATATATTAATACCCAAATATGTCTAGTTCCCAAACCTGAAAGCGTCTTAAAATTGATGCTTTCCAGTTGAAATATCGCTAACTGAATGCCTAATGTCCTGGCGACGTGCAACTCAAGCAGGAGCTGCATCCCCAATGCGATGTGCTGGCACCAGCACCCTTGGGTCGTCAGGCTCCTGGCAACATTTGGTGCTTCATTGCGGTAAGTTTCCAGGGAAGAAAAAAAACAAGAACCCATGGTTTTGACATGGTTTTACCATCTCAAATATTTCTGAATCTGGTCTATTCAGATCTTATAAAATCAGTGTTTAAAATATACCCTCTGGTAAATTAACATAGACCCTGCCAGATGGGGGTTGGAAGACTAGTTTCCATTAAAAATTGGTGATTTTCAGGGTCTATGTTTATTTACCAGAGGGTATAAGGTTTTGGTTGTACCTCAAATAGATCCAGAATCAAAATAGTATCAATACCATAAATTGTTACTATTATCATGAGTAGTTGTTTAATTTGCCTTTTATTATTTATGTTTTAACATTGATTTTTGTGTAGAAACATATAAAGTTGCTGTAGATGCATACAATGCAAATATAAAGGGTTTAAGTGCTGGATTGCCATTGTTAATTCGGATATGCAGCAGCGATATCGAGTGAATTATTCGAACAAAAAAGAAAAATAATGAAGTGATAGCCTCTCCACCCTTTCAGCAACTGCTCCTCTGAGAATTGCCCATCCACATTCCCGAAATGCGCGAAACGTTTCGGCGATGACGACAAGCTGTGCCCTTCACTCGGCCCTGCGGAGCCCAAATTTGCCGTCGAGGGGAGAGTGTGGTAAAACATAGGAAAATTGGCGTTGATTATTGGGTTTTCCTACATTGACATAATAATCTAATATAATCTATGTCATCTTTGCCTAGACGTAACTCTGAAAAATGAATCTCCCATGAAGTTGGATAGATTCTATTAGAAAGAAACATGAGCATCATGACATGAACACCTGACTTGTTGGGCCATCAAATGCCATCAAACGTTCAAATTCATGATTTTCCAAATCAAAAAATATTCAAAATGTTATGTGTATATATATATGTATAAATATATATATATACATATTAAATGGTACATATGCAATAAACTCGCGGGAGTTTGGTCAATTTGAGTGCGCCCGTCAAACTCCAGCCTAACATCATCGACTTCTCGAGGTTCTCAGGCCTGGCCCTGGCGACAAGTCTTACTTTTAGGTGCCAGGTGCTGTGCAGCATCAGTAATCAGCAGTATACATACATACATAGATTTACTATAGATTAGTATATATAATATGATATGTGTATAGATTTACCATTAGTATATATAATATGATATGTGTATGATATGGTATTTACCATTTGTAATATAATATGTGTGTATTTATATGTATTTAGTATCATTTAGATGTTTTTTTTAGTTCCGAATACAGGTGTTAAAATTCTGACCCCGAAAACCCAACAGGGACACCACCTTCCTATCTCGACTCAGGTCGTGGCTCAGCTCGTTGCGTCAAGCTGGGACTGGCCCTAATACCTACAGAGCTCGGGGCATATGTGATTTGTATTGGGGGTAGTAGCAATATATTATGTATATATATATATGTGTGTGTGTATGTGTGTATGTGTGTATGTGTGTGTGTATGTGTGTGTATATGTGTGTATGTGTTCATGTGTGCGTGCATGTATGTATGTATGTATGGATGGATGGATGGATGGATGGATGGATGCATGCATATAATATATAATATATAATATATAATATATAAAATATAATATATATATATAATATATAATATATAATATATAATATATAATATATAATATATAATATAATCTATAATATATCATTATAATATTATAATATTATATCTATAAGAATGTATTTAACACTATAAATGTAGAATACTATAATATATATATATATATATACATATACATATGATATAAACACAGCCAAATGGCAACCAAGAATACTTTGACAGGTTGTATTTACATATCCTTCACCAGACGTAAATTAAATTCTCGAAAAAGTGACGAATATATCCGAGAACCAGCTCGCGACTTTTGAAAGATTGCTGGGAAGTAAAATTAAGGGTTGCTTTTGAATAACCTTCTCAAAGACATTCAACTGTGTATAGCTGAAGAATTGCCTCAGAAAGCTACCTGTACAATTACAATTCATGGCCTTGGATCCAACAACCCCACAAAACATACACAAACTCCTGAAATAATCTGAAATGTATCAAACATGATCTATACTTATATATATATATACACATAAAATCCCATACTTTCCCAAGTCTTAGTGGACATCCCACCTGTTAGACCACGATGGACTCGCAAGCAGGGAGCTATCTTCTCCTGCCTCCAGAAAGCTGAGAATCAGATTTTGTTGCTTGGCAGAGATTCCATATTTGCTGGTCAATTTGTGCTGTTTTCTCATGAAAGGTAAAAACGTGGTTTTGAACAAATATCTCATGATTGTGGGCAAAACAAAACGGCCAAAAAACATCAACTTCGTCAGTGATAAAAATCCAAAAACATTAGGAAAAACAACATTAAATGTTGTTTTATCATCTAGAATCTAGAGACGGTAAAGAAATGACAAAACGTCCAGCTCTTCGTTTCAAGCCTGGGACTTCCCAATTTTCCGCGCCTGGAACTGGAGCGTGGTGGATCCTGAGGACAGGCAGATCTTCTGGTTGTTTCTTCTTCATCGTGTTGCATGGAAACCAACCCGAGGGACATGCCGCTACTCATTATCACAACATTTTTCTACATATTGTTACAACCTCAATTCTGTATAATGCAATGTAATTAATGAAATGTAATTAAATCTAATGCAATGCAATGCAATGCAATATATGCCCGCATGCATGTAACATGTATCAGTCATTGCCTCTCTAACATACCTTGCATGTGGCGGAAGCGCCCGAAAAAAGGGTTCACAAGCTTGTATCAGCCACCAATCCACTAATAGCGGCCTGCCAGCCAACGATATCACAATATATCATAATCATATATAATCATATGATGTATGCACAAACAAAATATCTAGGTCTGTCCAAAAATCAGGTATCTTGAATATTTGATGATTTATCATGATTGTCCCCCTTAATTTGGCCACAATTGGGGGGATATGGTCCATCCTCTGCCCGGCCTTTCGATCAGCATCAAAGGGGCACGCAGCCAAGGGCGTAAGAGCCTTTTGCAAGCGTCTCAGTGACGTGATGCACGCATGAAGGGGGCGCATTAAATTCCAACTGTATGGGTGTTTCGTAAACACTTGCTGGAAGCTATGCTTTCTCATCACAACTCTGGGGTGTCGACTGTGGGGCTCCAAAACCTTCTTCTTCTATCTTCTTCTCATCACAAATGGGTGTTCCTATCAAGTTTTTCCATTTCAAAAATCCGGAAGCTTGTCGTTAGTACCTCTGGTATGATGTATAGCAATGGGAGTAGACGTCGACTCCTTAAGACACCTTGCTTCAAAGTCTGCGCAGGTGTCCACACGTTTCCACTAAACCCTAAACCCCTTATAGTAAATCCTAGAACCCGAAACCTAACATCCACCTTCACCATGCGATCAAAACTCAAGGATACTCAAGGCCTCTTGAGACGTGTGAACGCGGTTGATGGGCTTGTGAAATGCCACACCTGACCGCTTGGCTTGGGACATCGGGACCCTGCCATGAGCTGGGGGGTTGGAAGACGACCCTCTACAAATGGTCGATTCTCAGGGTCCACCTACTAGTTAGGATGGTATTAACCACTTGAACTATGAAGAATAATTCATTACTAATGCATACTAAAAATCCATTGCCGGAGCATTCCCGAAATCTCACAATACTTACTGGCCATTTCAGCATCAAATTACCTCAAATTACCTCATTGTTCTGGGTCAAAATTCCCATCTTGCGCCATTGGGGCCGCAGGAGCCTTTCGTGTCGAGGCCTGGATGGTTCAAGAACGGTCTCAACCTGTCGAGAGTCGGGCCACCAAAACTCTGGCCGTGTTTGGTAGGTTCCATCATGCAAAGTTGGAATTGTATGTGCATAATATCTATATATATATATATTATGATACACTCATATAGCATATGAATATTTATGTATGTATATAGTATAATGAAATGTTGCTATAATGAAATATTAATATAATGAAATATTAATGAAACCGAAATATTAATATATGTATATATATACACTGTCTACATAATATAACATAACATAATATAACATGACATAATGTAACATAACATAATATAACATGAAATAATATAACATACCATTATATAACATAACATAATATAACATAACATGATATAACATAATATAACATGATATAATGTAACATATCAAAACACAACATAATATAATACAACACAGCATAAGATAATATAACATAACATGACATGACATAACATGAAAAACGATAATATAACATAACATAACATAACATACCGTATACCATAGTATAATTACAACATAACATAACATAACATAACATAGCATAGCATAACATAGCATCATAATCATAGATTAGTCTGTAATTATTTGATTGATCAATTACGTATAACATCGTATAGTACATATTTTAGAAGTCCACTGCCGACCCATCCAAGCGGCCGGGCGAAATGCTTCGAAAAACCACATCCGCAGCTGTGCAAAATGACGGATCCGCCACAGCCGCCATCGAGTCACTGAACCGTGCTAAGCTGTGGGCTGAACTTGCTGAATTCTTTGTATGATGTGAGTTTGTCCAGAAATAGTGGAGACATGTGGAGACCCGAACTTTTCAGTTTAATGAGAAAAAATGATATGATAAATCATGAACTGCTGGGTTTTGGGGTACCTTATTGCAGACAAAATGAATGTGCATGATTGTTTTTTCAACAAGTGCCCACTGAACGTCTGGCCAGATCGTTGTCAATGATAGGTTTCAACGTCTTTACAGCCTGTCTGAAGACCAATCAACCTGACCGGGGTGTGCACAAGTGCACACCTTGCTTGCAAAATTTTGCTGCTCCGGTGAGTTCATCTGTCCACATCTTTGTATGATATGTGCGTTCGCAATAAAGATTCAGAATCATTCAAAGGGCGGGTCTCAAAATTGTGGATACCTCCAACTGGCATTTTTTGGCAAGGAAAATTGTGATTTTAAGCAAAAGATTTATTTGGGGCTTCCATATTTTCAGACGACCCCTCAGATACCTCACTTTTTCTTCGCATAGCATTCGCCATGGACATGTGATCTTCCGTTCTGGTGCCTACCTCGTCCCAAAAAACATCTACCAGGCATGGCCCAAAGTGAGACACTGCAGGTTACAGCCTCCAAGACTAGCAACTTTCAGGTGGTTCTAAGTTCGATCCGATCATCCGATCCATCTGAAAAAGTGGGATTTTTCCTTGCAGTGTCCCCTGCCTGAGCCGCGAGCACGCAGCTCGCGAGGTCAAAATCCACCCCATTGTTGTTCGAGTCGATCCCATTCGGATCATTCGGACCACAGTGCATTGCATTGGAAAATTCAGATTAAACTTCTGGTGATAATCCGCTTAAATCATTCGGATCACCGATTTCAATTCCATTAAAATCATGAAATTCCATCATTTCAGATATCAGGTCTCCAAAGGGTCTCAGTCTCACTTCATGAACTTCCAGTCTCCGCCAAATCTTCCAATCGTTGCTGCCTCAAAAAAAGCCGGAGACAAGATGACGCCCCCTGAGACTGAGCAGTGGCAAGTCCAAATTGATGAATATGCTACAAGTATTCCATAAGTATTCATACATGGATGGTCAGTTTCATCCAATGCAATTAGTATAACCCTCAACAAACACGTCACATTTGCCTATATTTCCTTCAGCCAATGCTCACGTGATCACAGTGCAAGTCCATGGCATGTGTGGACATATGGTATCATTTATATTCATTTATTGTATAATCATAAATTCTTCGTGTGGACCAACTGGTTTTGATCCTCTCATCATGAAAGTATTCGACGTTTTATGACATACACATTTTTCACGGGAATTCAGGGCACAAAAGAGACACATGGACTCCACTAACCTCCGAGGTTAGCACAGGTTTGGTAGGCTCTGCAGGGCCATCAAATGTCCACTTCGTGTTCGAATCTGACAGGAACTGCTGGAAAGCAGCTGGCCCCGAAAATCTTCGGCGAAAAGGTTCAGAGGTGAAACCCCAGTCGCCCCAAATGGTGAAGCGACTGAAGCCCTTCAAAATTCACAAAGCTTATCATCCTTATCAATTCTCATCAATTCATGTCATGAATATCATAGGTGTCCTTTTTGTATAAATAGACGGTGCCATTTACCATCATTCACCTTTTCTTGGTTTATATGGGATACACCCAACCATTTATCAACCAACCAGGGATAAAAGGACAGCCATGAATATGACATGAGGGTTTCCTATGGGTTTCCTAAGTCATAGGGGCTACCCCCCTTTCTTCGCCCCTCAAACCATCGCCTTTTCAAGGTGAGTTGCCAACTCTCTAGCCTCGGACATGGCAGCTTGGCATTCTGAACAGTGTGACTCGGTAATATATATATAATATATATATATATATATAATATAATATAATATAATATATATATATAATATATATATACTTATAACTTATATATAATTGTTTGAAAAAATGAGGGTAGATCATGGTATATATCTCCAAAAATCTCCAAAATAGCTATTTTTGAAGGGAAACGAGGTTCGGAGCCAGTGGATTTTGGGGGGTCCCTAAATTTTCAGACAAAACCATATTTTTTGAGACATTTTGAGACCCAGCAGAATCCACACTTTGTAGTCAGCATCACTGTCCATCCTGCAACGGTCCACTTTTGGCCGTAGAAAGTCAACCAACATTCACCAAAGCTTGGATGCCACTTGATCTTTGTTTTGCAAAAGGCACCCCAAAGCCATCACTTTCAAAGTCACTTTCCGCCACCAAAAAAATGGACAGATGTTGGATCCCATCATTTTCCCTAGATTTTTCCTATCATTTTACCCAAAATCGAGACCCAAAGATCTAGGGAAAACGAAACAATTTGGGTCTCCCGACGGCAGCGGCTGGATCGCAGGTGGTGCCTCCCTGTGGCGCTGACTCTTCGGCTTTGCGCACCTGAAAGGGGTGGTGGAGGGGATTCGTTTTTTGGTGTCTAAGATGAGTGACCCCAAGATTCCATCATAATTACTAAAAATTAGGGTTTCATACCAAAGCATCTAAATATATATATGTATGTATGTATATAGATCTGTAAATATTGGCTAAAACTATAGAACTTGTTGATCTATCTTTGTAAGGCTGTGTTTTTTTTGGGCCCTATTTTGAGAAACACCATACATGGCTATGGTATCCAGCAGAAATTGGATGGTTGATCAACGAAAAAAACTGGCAATGGTTACCCGAAATTGGGTACTGTACATGTTTGGTAGCAAACCGTCTGATTTTAGCAGGAAATCTTGAGCCGTACCTTCAGGAATATGGAGATTAGTTTGCAACCGCTACAACTGAGACAAGCAGAAGAAAAGCATAGCAAAACTCTAATGGGAAAACAGCCTGCCAAAATTGATGTACACCACGATACACCACGCCCAGACACACAAGAAGTACAGGACCAAGTTACCAACATTTACCAACCACCACAAACCAGTGGTTTTATATCCGGAAATCATCATAAATGACCAAACATGTAGGTGGTATCACCAGAAGAAATGATACAAATGTGGATAGAACCCATTTGATTCAAGGTTTTTTTTTGTCCAAAAAACTGGGCCCCCTGGCGAGAGCTTCCAGCACTTTCATCAGGGGTAGCACCGCCAGCTTACGGGAGTCGTTGAGATTGCACAACACCTGACCGTTGTTTGTTTGTTGAGCGCCAGGGGCAAGACAGAAATGAAGATAAATGAAGTGAACTTAAGCTAACATGAGCGGGAACACTTCAGAATGAGTCAGAGAGATTTGTCGGCTTTTGCGGAAAGCTGGGACATTTCTGTGGATTTCGGAGGTATATATCACATGTATTTGGATCCCATTTATATCATGTTCTATTCACATGCATCCACATGACCATGTAAAACTGTCAGAACACGACCTGAAGCATTCATCTGAGCTTCCTACTCGCACCAACCCGAGGGTATCGTGCGGGCAGATCCAAACCCCCACCAAATTTTCGGGGGATGGTTCTTCTTCAAACAGATTCTGACCTCAGCAAAACACAAATCTTAGCGATGCGCAGGAGATTTCTTTCTGTTTGATGTCAGAATCATCTGTGTTCCATCGAAGCGAAAACAGTTGCTGTTCAAAGCAGACATATTTTGGCGACATCTTGCCAGCCCAAGCTGGGCGGATGGCTCTGTGCACCCCGGAGAATTAACATGGAACTGCTGGCACTGCCAAAAACGGTCGGAATGGCAATTCTTCGGTTCTTTCTTCACTTTCCAGGGTGTATGTTCTTGGGGTTCCCTTATGCGGATGTTCCTCGGTCTCACAAAATGAGCTTGGGACAATAATCCACTGTCGCTCGGACCTTGGAATCAGCTTGCAGACACAATTAAAAACGATCAAATTCGTACATCCAAAAAAGTCCATGTGAATGATCACCTTGCACAATAGCATTCTATAGCATTCTCATGGATGTTCATATTTCAATATGTTTCATGTTTTTTAGGCAGAATCCCCAGCATTGTTTTGAGTGAAGCAAGGCCCACCCCACCAGCTGCCGCCAGGGAGCACATTCGTCACGCAGACCGGCCGCTCTGAGGCCACCCCAAAGTTCGGTCCACATGTTCACCCACCTCGAAGCCGGATCTGAAAAGTTGGGTCAGCCGGGTCTGAAAAACGCTTCTATGGCTATGTTTAAAGGGAAAAGGGTAAGATAAACATCAAACATACCCTCTGGTAATTTAACATAGCTATTGAAAACGGCCCATGTATACTTGATTTACCTATTAAAAATGGTGATTTTCCATAGCTATGTTAGTTTACCAGAGGGTAAACCATCCAGCTACTGGGGTATCCATGGGCATCCTACTTTCAGACAAAGCCGACAATCTTTATGGTCCAATATCCCGACTTATGCACACTTGTGGGGGTTGTGACCACGGTTATACCTACCCATTGAAAAAAAAAAAAACTCCACCACCACCTGGGATTAAACCGTGAAAAGTGTGGATTCAACCGTGACGAATGATAGTTGTACAGTATGATATGCGTAATCATTACAGTTTCAGAACTTATCCATCTCTAGCATTTTTTCTGTATTTGTCATTTTGTTTCATATTATTTCATATTTATTTTTTCAAAAATTAGTTTCCTTTTTGTTATTATCACCTTATAACACTTTTAGTCTTGTAAAAATTATGTTTTTTAGTCTTGTGATTTTATGAGTTGTTGATGATCAGACCGTTCACAGCTGTGCATCTTTGCTATCATGCAATCTCTGTCAGTTCAGTTGATGGGTTGGGCCCCTCGAAAAATAACATGCACCCCCACAAAATAAAATGCTGGGATCTGACCCCATTTTATTTCAGATTTGTTCGATGTTTTTTTTTTTAGGGGCCCAGCCCCCTCATTCTCTTGGGGTACACCATAGGAGGATACGAATGATGATTTCACCAATTCTAACCTGCAAAAAATGGGGATTGATGATGAAATTGTGGATATGTTCCCCGTTAAAAAATATGTGACCGTTTCGCCCTAAATCATTGGTATGTTTAGGTAGGAAGATGCATGGCCAATAGGGTAAGCGTCGGATATGAACAGTCCAAAAACGTTTGGGTCTATATATGTATACACATCTGTGTATAAATATATATATATATATGTGCATGTATGCATGCATGCATGCATGGATGGATGGATGGATGGATGGATGCATGTATGTATGTATGTATGTTATGTATGTTATGTATGTTATGTATGTTATATATGTTATGTATGTTATGTATGGTAATGTGGGCAGCTGGATCTTCACAATTCCACTGGTAAACATCTCCATTGCTGGGTAATGTCTCCAATTATATCCCCATGATTGTTGGCCTAAATACCCTCATTCTTGAAGGTTAATATACTGAGTATACATACATGCATACATACATACATCCATCCATCCATGCATACATACATACATAACATAACATAAACATAACATAGCATAACATAACATCACATAACATAACATAACACACATCACATACTAACCAACTAACTAACTAACTAACTAACTAACTAACTAACTAGTTAACTAACTAACTAACCTACTTACATCATACATACATACATTACACACATACACACATACATACATACGGACACACATACATACATACATACATAACATTACATTACATTACATTACATTACATTACATTACATACATACATACTTACAAACATACATGCATACATACATTACATTAGATTAGATTACATTACATTACATTACATTACATTACATACATACATACTGTACATACATACATACATACATACATACATACATACATACATGCATACATACATACATACATTACATTACATTACATTACATCACATAACATTACATAACATACATACATACATACATACATACATATACATACATATACATACATATACATGTAGTTTTCCCCCAAAAAATAAGAAAAAAATGTTATCTTAGTATGATCTTCCTTTTCTATCCTTTTGGGGTATGTATATTATATATATATATACATAATTACATGATCATACATGGCTACGAGTGAAAACCTGGCACCCTACCTCAAAATAGATGGTTAATGGATGTTTATTCCCCCAGGTATGGTTTTGACCCATCCCCACATATAGTCTGTATATTTCCTCCTACCCATCTGCAGTCAGGCCACTCACTGCAGTGCTCATAGTCTGCCAGAGCCTGAAGATACCGCAACGTCAGCCGTTTCTGGCCAGATCTTTCCATGGAGGGCATCATGTTCCATCTCAGTCTCATATCGTCGGAAAGCAGAACTTAAATAAATACGACATACATATACGTATAATATATATATAATATATATATATCATACGTATACATACAGTAAATATACACATCAACCCTTACAATTGTGAAATCGATTCCCACAGGTTTTGGGCCACAGGAAATGTCAAGGTTTTTTCAAAAATACCACGGGTTTCGTCCACTTTTTTTCCACCGGTCCGGTGTACAGTTCCCACTGAGTTCCAAGCTTTCTGTACAAGACAATGGGCCAGAGTTCTGGGGTATGTGTCCTCGTGCCTGCACGGTGCAAGTGTATGGAAGCGCATCACAAATGCCCAAAGGTCAAACAAAAGGGAAGAAATGATTTCGTTGTCCCAAGTCGGTTATAATATGTTGATGGAACCCAAATACTGATTATATATTACTTAATATTGATTATATATTATCTAATATTGATTATACATTATTTAATTATTAAGTACTATTGTGATGGAACCCAAGTCGGAACCTTTTGATGGTCTAACAGTTAATCAACTGGGACCTGTGATGTGTTAAAACGTCACCCTGCAACCCTGACTTTTGCCCGCCAAGGAGTTGTTTCGCTTTCAGGGGTGCATTGTTCATGAAGTTTAAATGATGTCAAATCTGCATAGTGGGCAAACGTGACGGCATCTAGCGAACATGTAAGCAAGTCTCTTTGAATTTTGCAGCGGCTAAAACAAATGTCATGGTCTAGCGATGTCGGACCGACCCGATTCTATGTTTTTATGCCAAAAACAAGAATAGCGCTATGGTTAATTGTTCCATGGGGCCGGGATTTCTGATATCTTACGCAAACCCCAAAAGAAACCCTGATACCGGTATGGTGACATGTCTGGGGCATCATCATAATCATCATCATCATCATCACCATCATCATCAGTCATAGTCATGTGAACCGTTGTCCAAACTAATTGCCTTCGTTTGGTTCCCGTTTGGGGGGGCCCTATGGCTATCCATAGTTTTGCAAAAAGAGGCAAGGAAGAGGAACGGAAGAGGAAAAGAAAAGGGAAAGGGAAAGGAAAGGAAAATTATTGGGAAGAGGAAAAGAAAAGGAAAAGGATTGGGAAGAGGAGAAGAAAAGGCAAGGAAATGAAGAGGAAAGGAAAGGAATGGAAAAAGAAAAGGAAAGGAAGGGAAGAGGAAATGAGGAGAAAAGGAAAGGAGTAAAGGCAGAGGAAGGGAAAAAGAGGGGGGAAAAAAAGAGGAAAGGAAAAAGGAAAGGATCTATTTGTGGTCTGGTCTGAGGCTACTTTTTGAACAAATGGGTATCGCTAAGGTATCGCTAGGGGTATCCCTAATTTAGCCTCTTGCATCTACGTAACTTTGTGCAAAACAACTTCTGATGTGTACATTATGCAGAATTATAGGCATCGCTTTTGGGGGGCCTGTCGCTACACAGTGCTTTGTGCATTTTCCACCAGAGAACTCTCCTTACATAAGTAGTATACCAGAGTTTTGACCGTACCTCATGTAGATGCTACCTTGCTGGTGCTGGGCGAACGTCCGCATAGGGGTGCGAGCATGTTAAAACGACCAAAACCCATAACTTGGATGGTGTCATGTTCTACAGTAACATCATAAATGCATATAAATGCCATTCTGCTGGTTTCATTCTGTTTCATTCATGTGTAACCCATTCTTGGGCCGGTCACCCATCCGTCCTGAGCTCGATGATGTTGTCAATAATGGATGTTGCGTCCTGCACGTGACATGTCCGGATGGATCCAATTCTCGATCAAGATCAGCTGGCGCTTTCAAGCCGCAAAGATATGGAAAAAAAAAACGTTGGAAGATGCTGGGATTATTCTCCCAAATACGCTTGATTTTTGTTTGAAAATGCAAAAAAACTGAAACCACCAACCAGCAAATGCATGCCAATACTGGATACCGGGCATTTGGCTAATTTCCCACCTTATCCATCCTTGTCCTAGCATGCCGCACCACTCCCAGCACTTCTGTCGATTGTCCTCGTAGCTGCAATCACGGAGAATCAGCTGAAGCCTGACTTGCCCAGCTGTCACTGTTCTCACTGGTCCAAACTTTTGGGAGAAATCTGAACACAAAGAATTGATTTTTAGTGCCAAATCGACTCACTTTCGGGGGGCTCTTGGAGTCATCCTAAACACAAGTGGGCAAGAACCACAATCAGACTGATGATGAAGTTTGGAGTTTCCATGTCCTACCCCGAAAACATATGGGTTTGTCTAAAAGAAAGTAGGTACCCCAAAAACTAATGCGTAATTGCTTCATCATCAGTTTCCCCCTTAAACTGGCCATAAATCGAAATATCTCCCATTTTCAGACACACCCATTACAAGTAGAACCTGCGCAAGGCGGGTGGCGGAAGTTTCCAGGTTTAAGAAGTGTGACGCAAGAGGATCCAAGGACAAGGTATAGGAGATGCAGTGGACCCTCACAACTTCTCATCTCCGTTCTGTGAATTCGTCGTCATTTTGCCTCACCCCTTTTCAATTGCGACCACCACTTCTCAACTCTTCTCAAGCCATCTTAGCTTTTCTCAATTTTCGCAACTCTTTCCAACAGCTCTCAAAGTTGTTCCATCTCCTCCCACAATAGAATTGCAACACACTACTGTAGAACACATCGCTTTGATGCAGCAGTTCCAATGCACATAGTATCTCAGGGCATGCAAAACACAATAGCACAGCATCCACAAAGAAGAGAAAAAGTCGCCTGGAACCTTCAGTTCCACTGCGCGCGCAAATCGAACAGGAATCGACGGCAAAGCGAGGATCGCCGCACCCGTCGCGCAAGCGAGCCTACTTTTCTCCGCAACGGAATCTCCGGTTACCCCAAAAAAACACAATGTTTCGTGCAAATCCTGACATTCAAATCGCATCCATGATGTAGCAGTTCCAATGCGATCTGCCAACAGTGACTTGCAAAAGACAATCAGAATCGCAAGACAACACTGCAGAACAAGTACCCTTCGAGAAGCGTTGACGCAGCCATTCCACTGGGATCTGCACAGACTGCACAAGAGTTGCGCAACACAATAGAATTGCAACACACTACTGTAGAACACATCGCTTTGATGCTGCAGTTCCAATGCACATAGTATCTCAGGGCATGCAAAACACAATAGCACAGCATCCACAAAGAAGAGAAAAAGTCACCTGGAACCTTCAGTTCCACTGCGCGCGCAAATCGAACAGGAATCGACGGCAAAGCGAGGATCGCCGCACCCGTCGCGCAAGCGAGCCTACTTTTCTCCGCAACAGAATCTCCGGTTACCCCAAAAAAACACAATGTTTCGTGCAAATCCTGACATTCAAATCGCATCCATGATGTAACAGTTCCAATGCCATCTGCCAAGAATGATTTGCAAAACACAATTAGAATCGCACGACACTACCGGAGAACAAGTACCCTTTGAGAAAGGTTCGTGCAGCCATGGCTCTGCAATCTGCACAGACTGAATTGCGAAACACAATTGCCCTACCTCTACTCTGCCCCTACTCTACCTCAACTCTACCACTACTCTACCTCTGCCTAAACCTCTACCTCTCCCCCCTGGGAACTCTTCTCTGCTCTACGCTGCTCTACTCTACTCTACTCTTCTCGACTCTTCTCGACTCTACTCCCCTGCCTCTACCTCTAACTCTACCTCTCCTCCCCTCTCCTCTACCCTACTCTCTACTCTATTCTTCTCTACTCTACTCAAGTCTATTCTACTCTACCTCTACTCTACCTCTACCTCTACTCTACCTCTACTCTACTCTACTCTTCTCTACTCTAGTCTATTCAATTCTACCTCTGCTCTACCTCTGCTCTACGTCTACGCAGGTGCCGATTGGACACAATGATCTTTGGGCCAGTGAGAATGTGACTTCATGATCTCTTAAGGCACGTGACAACTGGACACAATGATCTTTGGGCTAGTGGGAATGTGACTTTATGATCTCTTAAGGCACATGCCAACTGGACACAATGATCTCTGGGCTATTGGGAATGTGACTTCATGATCTCTTAAAGCACATGCCAACTGGACACAAGCGGGAATGTGACTTCATGATCTCTTAAGGCACATGCCAACTGGACACAATGATCTCTGGGCTAGTGGGAATGTGACTTCATGATCTCTTAAGGCACATGCCAACTGGACACATAGTTCCTGGGCTAGTGAGAATGTGACTTCATGGTCTCTTAAGGCACATGCCAACTGGACATAATGATCTTTGGGCCAGTGAGAATCAGTGAGAATGTGAAAGTCCGTAACTCGGAGTTTCGTCCGTGAAACCTCCTTTGGCTATCATTGTTCATTTGTCAAATCTCCCTATTTTATCCTACTGTGGATGGAAGAAATCCTGCACCACCTTGGACGGTTGAAACCCTAGAAGTAATGGGATCAACTGGTGCAGGATTTCTTTCATCCACTGTATGTTTGATTGTCAAATCCCCATGTTCGCAAAATGTTGATGGTAAAACCCAGCAATTTTGGGATAAAGCCAACATTCTGGGTAAATTATAACACCGTAATTCGCAAACCTGAATTAAGTCTATTTTGGGATAGTTCCCCCAATCCTAACCTTTCTTCCAGGTCGCATCCAGAACATGGTGTGGAACCCATGGATCTGCGCCTTGCCATCAAGCTGGATGGCCGAGCCCGGCAGTTCCCCATGGCTTTGGAGACGAAGACTGAAAGGCTCTGCTCCTGGCGGAGCTGAAAGGGGCGGGGCAAGGACAAAAAGATTCCGATTTTAAGGTAACAAACCTAATCGCTACCCCAGAGAAACTATGAAAATCGATGAGCTATGTGGCGGTTACTATAACTTCGGGTGATTTTGCTTGATATTGGTGAAGGTGAACGATTACTAAAAATTCGATGACTGAAGCTGAGTGAATTCCCAAATGTTTCAATGAAAGAGTTGTAACTTCAGGTTTAAGTTTTCTGAATCTGTTTGGAGGCTACTATGAATGTTCTAATTTCAGACGATCTACCACCATTGGCAGATTCAATCTGGAAAATGCTGATAAACTGTTGGATTCTGGTTGTCTCAAGATTGGGAATCCGAAAAACACCCTTTCTATGATCATTTCCCCATTCAACTAGCCATGAATCAGGGCAAATTTAACGAATGAGGTGGCACACCCAACACCATAAACGATCCCCCATGACTTACCGGAACTGGATAAATGGATGGTCTTTAGTGTCTTTAACCCTTTCTGCATGGGATAATTGGAAATTATTATATTTGGACTTGCGACATACAGGCTCACACTTTCAGTAGCGGAGAAAAAGTTGCTCCTTCTTGACAAACAAATAGGGGGACGCCTACCACAACAGTTGGAAGGATATTTTGCAACTCTGACGAATGGCCATGCAGGTTTCCGCTTGCGCGCCATGCCTTGAACTGCACATCGTCTTTTTTTGGCGCATGTGATCCCTCCCAAATAGTTCCGTCTAGGCATAGACTCCAAAACACAATTGCTTGCAAGTTTCATTGTGATACCTGATTCTGTACAAAGACTGAAGCCAATGATTGGCTGCTGGGAAAGACTGTAATCCCCTTCTGAGGCAGTTGGGGTTTCCTCGCTGACAAAAAAACAACTGGGTGTGCCAGAAAATGGATGAAAATGGGCTATACCCCCCTATGTAATGGTTGCTCAAGTATGTTTAAATAAGGGAACTGATGATTAACCAGCGGATTTTGGGATTACCATCTTTTGATGGGCAAACCCAGATGGACTGCAATTTTCTTTCGTCACTTCTTCGGCTCGCAGGCTGGGGCTGGGCGTACAACAGTTCTTCAAGCAGCTTGCCCATACGGTGGATGTCGCTGCTGCGGCAGCTTCCTGGAGCATGGGCCGTGACAGACACTGCTTGAACATAACCCTCAGCCATTTCAACCACTTTCAGTACATTGCTCATCTTCTCATCTTCGGTTCGTGGACATGCTGACATATGCAGGCAGGTAGTGACAAGAAATATCAGCATGGGGCATCCATGTCTTACAAGACATGGACACACGGTGTTGATATTTCTTGGCACTTCCTGCTTGTGTCAGGATCCTCTGCCAACCCCACTACCCAACACAGCCCATGGGGTCATCGTTTCACTCCACGAGCAGCAACATCGGCAGGAGAAGCTGTGACACCCAGCCGGGGCAATCTGGGTGTAGCGAATCACCTTGAGCAAAATTGAGCAAAGAAGCTGAAGGGTAATCTGCCTGGGGTCAGATTGCATGCTTCCCAGCAATCCCGGCCTGAACGAGAAGAAAATTGTTGCTATTTGAGCACTCTTCGCGGAATCAGGGCGTAAACATATACCTTGCATACCAATCGTGTGCGGGGTGTCCTGCTGTTTCGGTCTGTTTTTCTACAGGTAAGTTTAAGTCTGCATGCATTTCTCTTGATTGGGATGTTATGTGTGTATCTGCAAATTTTGAAAGACATATCAAAACTGACTTAATGATATATATATATATGTTTATAGTTTTCCCATGTTCAAGCAACATCAAGCGCAAGGTCGTTTGAGGCCCAGACTTACTGATGGAATACCGTACAAAAAATGACTCTCTTCAGTTAACCAGTTAGCAACAAAACCGATCTGTTTGATCAAAAAGAGTTCTCAGGAATTTGACAACCTACTTTTCTGCTCCTAATGATATAACATGCTGTGCTTCAATCATGAACGGACTACTCTAAAGTGGCTACCTCGAAACAGATATCACTCTTGAAACAGGAATTAATTTTCCATGTAAATATTGTCAAACACACATGTATTATGCAAATAATTCTAAATAATTCACGTATGATTATTATTATGATGGCTATCCATGATTGTTATTTATTATTTATCATTATATGTATATGTATATATATACACATGTGTATGTATATGTTTACAGTATGTGTGCCATCATATGTCGTGCAACTGCCAACTAGTACATGAATGATTCATGGGCATGAGGAAATCGTACCAATGCGCTTTTTTATCTATTTGGATACCCCCCGCTCGGACATCTCCTGTGTCAAGCGGCCTAACCTCGGACTTTCAGAAGCTGTTTGGACTCTTCAAGTTCAGATGATGTGCAAGTCATAAACCCAACGAGAAAATCCACTTGGATGGGGTGTCTCTTGCAGAACACTATTTGCAGCTGGTTTTTCACTATTGGGTCTACCATTTTAGTTTCCAGAGGAGGAAAACAGCAGGAATACCTTGCCTCACCTTGGACTAATGTTTGTCTACATCATCAACACAGCCAAATGTACCAACATCAACAAAACCGAAACCGAATGTACCAACATCAACACAGCCAAATGTATGACATTAGGTTTGAATCTAATGTTGTTAGAACAAAAATTGACCAATCATCTGGGAATGGTTTATACCACCTATATATAACAATTGTAATTTGGGGGTGTTTTACCCACATTATTTGAAATACATCTACTTCTCCATCAGCCCACTGAGTCTGCAGGCAATACCACCTTCTCCGCGAAAAACCTTCCGCGTCGCGGTTTTTATCGGCCCATCCCCTTGAAGGCGAAGTCATGATGTCAAGCCTACAATATTCAAGACGTTACCATATATGCAAAATATGCTGCCATATAGATGTACAATGATATATGATGATATATAATGATATATAATGAAATATAGTAATAATATACATATATATATATGTACAATGGTAATTAAAGAGTTGGCTGTAGATGGCTATATTTCTATAGATCCGCCGACCCCGGCCGACGGCAAGGGGGAGTGCGTCAGGGAAGAAGAGTTGCTGCTGCTACTACTACTACTACTACTATCACCACCACCACCACCACCACCACTACTACTACTCCTGCTGCTGCTACTACTACTACTACTATTATCACCACCACCACCACCACTACTACTACTCCTGCTGCTGCTACTACTACTACCACTACCACTACCACTACAACTACCACTACCACTACCACCACCACGGCCACCACCACCACGGCCACCACCACTACCACCACAACTAGCACCACAACTACCACCACCACCACCACCACCAGCCACAACCACAACCACAACCACAACCACAACCACAACGACCACGACCACGACCACGACCACGACCACGACCACGACCACGACCACGACCACGACCACGACCACGACCACGACCACTACCACTACCACTACCACTACCACTACCACCACCACCACCACTACTACTACTACTACTACTGCTACTACTACTACTACTCCTCCTCCTCCTACTACTACTACTACTACTATCACCACCACCACCACCACCACCACTACTACTACTACTCCTGCTCCTACTACTACTACTACTACTATCACCACCACCACCACCACTACTACTACTCCTGCTACTACTACTACTACTACTCCTCCTCCTGCTGCTGCTGCTGCTGCTGTTGCTGCTGCTGCTGCTACTACCAATACTACTTCTGCAAGAGCAGCCGCAGCAGCAGCAGTAGTAGCAGCAGCAGCAGAGCAATGTCTTTTTAAAAAAAGATTTCAGAAGCAACGTTACTTGATGTCGTTCGTCTTTCCGTGCCTTGGCATTTTGCTTGCGGGAGGTGGCAGCAGCAGCAGCAGAGCCTTGTCTTTATTCTATTTTCAAATAAGATTTCAGAAGTAACGTTCGGCCCCTTTTCCGTGCATTTTTGATGTCGTTCACCCTTCCGTGCCTTAGTGCTTCGCTGCCGGGAGGTGGCAGCAGCAGCAGCAGCAGCCACAGCAGCAGCAGCAGCAGCAGCAGCAGCACACCACTGCTCTTAGACTTGCTTTAAATGTACGAAGAGCCACTAAACCATGGTCTCCATTCTACTTCTTTCTTTAAACTTCCCCCCCTGCGTTCCACTAAACCATTTGTCTCCATTCTACTTCTTTATTTAAACTTCCCCCCCCTGCGTTCCACCAAACCATTGTCTCCATTCTACTTCTTTATTTAAACTTCCCCCCCCTGCGTTCCACTAAACCATGGTCTCCATTCTACTTCTTTATTTAAACTTCCCCCCCCCTGCGTTCCACTAAACGATTGTCTCCATTCTACTTCTTTATTTAAACTTCCCCCCCTGCGTTCCACTAAACCATTGTCTCCATTCTACTTCTTTATTTAAACTTCCCCCCCCTGCGTTCCACTAAACCATTGTCTCCATTCTACTTCTTTATTTAAACTTCCCCCCCTGCGTTCCACCAAACCATTGTCTCCATTCTACTTCTTTATTTAAACTTCCCCCCCCTGCGTTCCACTAACCATTGTCTCCATTCTACTTCTTTATTTAAACTTCCCCCTTCCTGCGTTCTACTAAACTATTATCTCCAGTCTACTTCTTTATTTAAACTTCCCCCCCTGCGTTCCACTAAACCATGTTGTCTCCATTCTACTTCTTTATTTAAACTTCCCCCCCCTGCGTTCCACCAAACC